GTGGTAGTAAGGCTGATCTGTAGTGGTGATGGATTGGTGAGGACGGTTGAGGTGAGAACTAGTTGTGGCATGTTGGTGCGAGATATCAGAAAACTGTGTCTACTGGAAGGTGCTGAGAGTAGAGAGTCGGAGGATGAAACACTAGATGATTTTCCAACCTAGAGCGTCAACCTGAGAAGGGTTGTAGGCGTACTGCTGTAAGTCCTACAATTCTTCAAAGGGTAGCGCATCAATGAGCAGTCCAATGTGCTCGGTGTGTGATTTTGTACATATGTTCATATTGTATATACTGAATTGATATCATCTGTCATCTAGCTGTTGGTAATTCTGTTTGTGTCCGGACATTCCACAACTTACAATCGTCAACCTGTGAAGGGTTGTAGGCGTACTGGTGTAAGTCCTGCAATTCTTCAAAGGAATTCCATCAAGACATGATCGGCGAGTTTGTTTGTACTGTTTGTATATACGTGTGGTGTGTCATATCAATTGGTGTTTTTGGATTCATTGTGTTTACTCGTTGTTTTCGTATCTTGTTGTTATTGCGTAATTTTGTTAAAATTTTCGTCGTGATTACTTCTGAAGTTGTTTCGAGTCTTCTACATCCGTGAATGAATTGATTGATGTTAAGGACAGCAGATGGGTCGTATACGCCGGGGAGGCTAGGCTATTGCTGAGAATGAAATGCACACGGAGATAATTGTTAGCTGCGGTCCGACACGCCGGGGAGAAAGAGTGTAAACGACTGAGGCTCGCATGCGTCACCGTTACTAGAACTGAGGCAGAATGAGTGACAAGCGATTTCAGTGGTAATTGGTAGTGAGTAGATAAGAGGATGTGCGTAGAGTATCGTGAGGTGCTGCTATGGTCACTTTGCATTCTGCAAGAGTCATTCTAGCAAGTGGCGATTGTGTTGCAAGATGTCAAGAGGATGCCTTTGTCTGGAGGCGCAGGTCGTCATTGATGTGTGAGATTGTGCTGTGAGTATGCTTGTGGTGTGTTGGCTTTTCTGTTTGTTTTCCATTTCAGCTCTGTCCGTGTGACCCAGGTTCTCGCAATGGCATCCAAGTCAACGTGTATTGGTCGTGAAGGAAAAAAGGGTTGGATCCCTTTTTTGCCGGGGAGTGTCAATGGAGTTGAAGATTGAACGATCAATTCTTGGTTGTTTGCTCAAAATCAACTTCCCCAATTTTCGCGGAGGCATCAATACGACAGTCATCGTCTCATCGGTCGCTGTTCAGAAAGAAGAGTAAAACATCGTCAGAAGTAATACAATGATTTATTATTGTAATATTTGTTCACAGACCTTAGTTCACTTATTCTTTTTATATGTTGGTGTAACAATAAAGAAATATCAAGCGGCCAATCGGTGTTTTGGTTTTTTCGTCCGTTATAACTAAGCGTTTCTGAAAACTTCAAGGAACAGCGTGGGCCCGAGCGTAGCAAGAGCTTGGCATTAACGGTTTATGAGACGTGATTGACAAAGGTCCTTCACAAAATATCATTCTCAGGTAACAGGGATATACATTTCACACAGGAAGGTTCTTACGATCTGCGTAACCAAACTTGCACAGTGACAACTCATTCTTTTAAGTCAACACTCCGTGAAAACTTATTCACGGTCATGTATTCTAAAATATGGAATAGCCTGCCCCTAGATGTCAGAACTTGCTTACAAGCTTCAAACCCTCTCTATACAGACTGTTTCATTCTACTGATTACATTAATAAACTATTTACTCCTAGAAAGAATCAACTACTAATCTACTACAGCACCTAAAGGACGCACTTCAACATCCTTCGGAATCTAAAAATTATAAATAAACTAGTAGCATGGATGCATGAAGACTTAGTACGGAACATACAGGAATAGTTTACCTTTAGAAATAGGACCTGTCACTCTATTGTAAACTTTAAACGCTTGCTATATAAACTTTTATCCCAAAGGCTGTCCCAACCAGACCGCATCACTTATTTCCGAAACGCATCCGTCATTAGAGCACTGAAACGCTCAAACTCATTAATACACATTATGACACTAAATAAACTCTAAGACTTCGCATAAATACGTGAAAACGCAACTACAATATAGGTAAATGTACACTAAAGTATAATATACAATTGACATAAACATTTATACATGCTTAAAATATTAATATCCTTTTCATGTTCACATACTTTCTCTTTCTGATACTCTGCTGCTCCTATTTATCTTCTGTTCGAGGTCGAACAACTCTACATCTTAACTGAAATGAAGATTAATTCCAAACCATTTATCTCATAACCACTGAAATTCCATGAACGATCCAATTCTACCATTTGAAGACGCTGGCGAACATGCTGTAAATGAGTATTCATGATCTGAAATGAAGAAGCAACTAGTTTACAAAGTTTTCAACATTTCTACTCAACTTACGAGTACAGTCCGCCATGGAGACACAAATGGCGGAAATAGAGAATTCTGGGATCGACCTCAGCACCATTTGATGGAGTAAAACAACTTAACATGACCTTATCTAGTTTTCGCCTCCACGATCAAATTTCTTCCCTGTTATAAAATTACGATAAGACTGCTGAAAAATGGAATAAATATATTACTGATCTCAACATAATACATCAATAAACTTTAAGCCAGGGGTGCTGTTCACAACAAAGTTATATAGGAGAATTGACTTCAAGCTTTATTTTTCCCAGATACCTGTATAACGTTCATCTGATGTCTAGGTTTTTTGTTAATGCGAAGACAATATTTCTATATCTCTTTATGTGCTACACAAACAGACTTTATAGCAGACCGTTCCGACTAACTCTAATGTCAGAAAGAACAACCAAACTGTAAATTCATCTTACATGAAATTATGTGTAATTTATATAATAACTTATCCATGCCTGTACAATTGGTATGTTCCTGCATAAACAGGAAGAAATATATTATTATTATACCATTTGGGATAAACAGGATCATAATGCTGTGCTAGTTTTGACATAGACCTCCTATCTTTGAACTGGTCGTCAATGCTGTGTTAAAATGAATAACAAATTACTTTGGCATAGTAAGGTCACTGAATACACGGCAAATACGTGGCATCACTTGATGTTTCATCTCTATTCACTAATGTGCCTTAAGTGGAAACCATCGATTATATCTGCGAACAGATTATAGAAAAGAAATTGTGCATTGATATTCCTATCACTAATCTGAAACAACTACTTGTTAAATGCACAACGAGCGTTCAGTTCCTGTTTAATAATAAAATATACAGACAGCTTGATGGAGTAGCCATGGGATTCCCATTGGGACCTATTTTCGCGAGTATATTTCTAGCGAAGCTAGAAAATAGTCCGCTGAAAGAGGAGATAGCAGAAATGGAAATGTATTGTCGTTACATGGATGACATTTTCGTAGTGTACGATGAAGGGTTAAATAGTGACTTACTTTTAAACAACTTCAATAATGCTCATCCAGCGGTCCATTTCACCTACGAAGGGTAATACAACCACCCTCTACACTTCCTTGATGTCCTACTAACGAGAAGAGAGGATGGTTCCATCAAAAGAACCATATTTAGAAAGCTAGAGACCGAAGCTCAGTATACACACTTCCTTAGCTTCGCACCCATGAAATACAAAAGTAATTTAATCAGGTGCTTAACATTTAGAGCGAGATTTATTGGTTCTGAAGTCTGCGTAGAGAAAGAACTCCAGGTTATCCGACACATTCTAAGTGAAAGCGGATATCCCGAGAAGCTCATTGAAGCCAACATAGGTTACAATAGTCGTAAAAACATGAACTGGCGACCGTGGAGAAAAAGCCCCTGGTTTTATGTCTCCAATTCAAGGGAGATACTCCTGCGGAGATTCTATCCCACCCAACGTTTAACTAGGGCGATTAAGAAAACTTTTCAATGTTCACCCAACAACTCACAGATATCTTACCTAACCTTAGCTCCTCTTCATGCACATACCATTTCAACTGTTCCTGTGGTTCAAGTTATATAGGCAGGTTTGTCTACAGGTTCGAGAACACTTACCAGCTTGGTTCAGCAGGAGAGGGGGAAATTAAGTGCATAAAAGGCTCGATCCTGTCACACTTGGTCGATACTGGACATCGCATCGATGTCAACACAGCTTTCAGGGTTATATACCAAATTACAAAGTCTTTATCACGTACAGTTCGCCTACGTCTCCTACACATAGCTGAAGCTGTTGCAATAAGATCGACTAAACCGGTACTTTGTACCGAAAAAGAACACGTCCAGACGTTGTTCAAACCTTGGCCAAACTTGGATTGATGATTCTTATTCTCACCAAGAGTGCTCCTTCCCCTTGACCCTTTTAAAAATTTTTTCCTTTGGTTATTATTACAGTTATTATTATTCGTCATAATTTATGCCCTTCATGCAAACATTCCCTCAATAATATCGAATTAATCATTATACTATCCGGACTTATTATAACTGACATTAACTCTTTTCTTAATATATGCCTCCACCTGTTTCCTTTCACATATTCGTTGTTTCATTATGAACCTCTCACTGCAGTCTTACTATCTCCTGTTTAACACAGACCACTTTGTACTAGCCAGTCACCTGACACCTTTTGTAACCTTGAACTGACCTGTCAATTTTCCTACCCCACACTCTACGAATCTATTATGACTCACTAATCACCACCATTGTCTCCCATTTTACAATATTTCGTAATCTATTTCAGCCTAGCACGTTTGTCACACAAATACGACTATTTATTTTGACACCCATAACTAATCTGTTATTCTACGCTAAAAATGTATCCGCCGCATAGCTGGCCTTCACTGTAACGACAACACAAATATTATATTTTATAATTGTAAGAAGTGGAAGGGAAATCATTGAAAAAAATTCTTCGTTCACATTCCCTTTTGAATCAGTTAAGACTGAAGCAACACCACTGAACACTGTACCTCTTTAACTACATCAATCTCACGTGTAATTACCCTTTGCTTGGGTTTCAAGCGCTCGAAAAATGTGTGATCTGTTTGAGGAAGTTGAAAGAGTAGAGGTCACCATACAGAAAAATGTAATATTAGATTACTTATATCATTCCGGATTATTTGCAGCTCTTCTTCTGCAATGTCACGTTTATCGAACGACCTGAGACTAAAGTTATTATTGTTGGTCCGGATGTACTCTTTTTTGATGAAACATTTCGAAATACTCACTCCTACAAACATGGTACTAGTTGTGGCATATAAATTACTCTCTAGGTTCCAACATTTTGCAGGCTTGTGCACCCGCGAAAGCTGTGTTGCTGTTTTTCCTAGATGAGCAAGGTTTCATGAGCATTTACTTACCTGGAGCTTGTGAACCAGCGTATACTGGGGTTAGCAGAAAAACATATAAATTCATTCTATTAGACTAATCTCGGGAAAATTCATGATTTGCAGCTGGTGACAACGTCTCCGGGTAGGTATTTCTACGTTCTTACCTGCTTTTAGCTACCTTCGATCTTCTACTGAGATCTGAGGACTCTTTTTTAATATGCAGAGACTTGAACACAATGCAGCTTCATTCAGGTAAGCAACAGTTACAGTAGGGAGGTTGTCCTCTGTATCTTCTATTCCATTTTACCATTATATCATTTCTAGAGCTCACCGAACGAAAGTTTGAAGAACTAGAAGAGCATTTCAGAAGTACTCAAAGGATTTCAGTGGTGGGAAAGGTGTTTTTCTGTAGCTGTTCAAGCCCCGCTTTGCTTTGGAATATCCAACTGGTAGGAATTCCACGTAAATTTTATTTCAAGACTTCTCCTGGCATTATAACAGCATATACGAAGGAGTCCCACGGGTTCTATATTCGAAATCTTTTTGACCCTTTGTCAGTTATTGAGGAAGACATTCGTTTTCGGAAGGTTTCTCTGATTAGCGATTCAGTGTACTGTATGGCTCTTACCAGCTCAGTGAGTTCTTTCTGATATATATGTAGTATACTATAGCGAACATTTTTTAGTTGAGACCACGTTGCTTTCCTTTTCTTCTTGGTTTTGTAATTCTGCTAGTGCTCTACTGTTGCCTCCCATTTAGACTGATGTCACATGAATGTGCCCAATATTTTTCGTAATGTAAACTACATTGATTATCTGGCAATAAACTGCAAAATCAGAAAAATAGTAATACTGCAATTTCTTTGAGATCGCTCAAGTGTTGTGCAGATCAGCCTACTTGCTCTAAGTGGCTGCGCTCATTGTTTCATTTAACAAAGGTATAAGAGGCGTTCTATTAAAAGATAAGCAAAGACAAAGTTTTTCCACATTCAAGCACAGTTGCCCCTGTTTCTCGACTTTGGGTCATGACTAAAGTGTGGGTAGTTGTATCATTCCGTTATCAAACCAAAGGTACAATAAGCTGCCAACTTCGAACTGTCTGATTAATGACTGAATGCTTAAGTCAGTTTGTCATATCACCAGGTTTAATGTTGTTACTTACGGACTGTGGTGAGTACCTTAACTCATCTTTACTCAGACATACTGCTCCGACTTAGTTTCCTCCACTGGTTTTCGGGCACAAAGTTAGCTTCTAGGGAACCATTTAGTTGCACTGCTCGGATGACTTCCTCTAGACCTGAGCTTCGGCCATACTGCCTGCTTACTGTAGCCTAGCTCACCTAACCTGGTGACTAGACTGCTCTTAACACTGCCCCAACTAGAGAAGGGAGAACATAACATTTAAGGACATATTTATTAGTAATGGTATAAAGGCAGTATGCAGATATACAATCTTGGCACCAACTGACAATCGCGCTCCTGTTCCTTGAAAACCCAATTGTCCGCAATAGGTTCACTCCGGACAGATAAAAAATTCTCCGTTGCAAGTGAAATGGCCGAGATTCAATTGAATTGACGAACTTCTTTAGTCCCTTACAAGATTTACGAATTAGTTTGCTTTCAGTGAGGTGTAACTTTTGTCTTGACTTTGATCTACATTTCCAGAATTCATATTTCTCTTTACCTACCTCAGGGTAAACAGTCTATCACTATCGTAAGCCTGGTTTACGATAGGACAGGTAAACCTGTCCTGGATTGGTGAGTTACATTCTTGCTGTTCATTGTTAGCTTTAGTGAAAGTGCTGATTGAAAACTGACTAACCACTTGCTGCCTTCGTCTGCTCTTTCATCAGAATGTTTACTCCACCTTATAGGGCATTTTCTAGTAACAGTATCAAGTATATCTGTTGGTGCTTTATCTGTAACCGACAGATTTGTCGTGTCGTTGTTGTGTCACTTCTACTGTTATTAGGTGATCATAATACATTAAATAGATCACTACCTTAGGTGTATATTTAGCGTAATAATTCCTCCATTGGAATTCCGCATATCTGTTTTGCACATATTTGTTAGGTAAACTCACTTCTCCCCTATAGATAATAGGTGTAGGAAACATGTAAACGTCAGATTTTAGCGTTTGTACTTTTACCTATTTGAAATATATACTCAGAGCGTGCATGCCAGTTATGTCAATAAATATTCGTACTCAAAGACAGGCGATGGATAGAAATGTCAGTGATATAAGTCTAATCGTAGATACTCACATGTAGCATATTTCTGTTAGTGGCTTTCCTACCCTATACATCATTTTTGTTTTCTCAGGGTCAGCTGTATTTACTGAACTTATTTGCGGGAGTGTGCTTGGGTTCTCTCAGCCAGTTTTCCAATGTCAATGATTTCTTCATTTGCCAATCAATCAGCAAGATCCCAGTCAACAGTACTAGTGAATACTCTGGACTGTGTGAAGCTACCATCTTTATCTTGAGAGATCTTGAAGAAAATGACCAGCCGTCCTGCACTGGACCTACGAAACTACTTGAAGTTGTTTTGTTCCCCAGGTTAGTAGTCAGTGGACTTAAATGACACTATTAACATTAGTATATCTGTTCACATCATTAAGCTAGCCCTAAGAAAGAAGAAACTTGGAGTTTCACAATTAAATCACCCACTAGAGGGGAGAATAGCACTTAAGAACCCCGAAATTCCCAACAATATCAGGCATTGCACGTGGAAACATTCAATCATTTAGTCTGGCACCTATGGTCTTAAGGAAAGAAAATAACTACAAGGCTTGATGAATACAGATGAATACGTAAATGTGGACTTGCACATTGATTTTTGAATGCTAAGAGTTGAGAAGTAGAAAAACGGGAACCAAGTTGAAGGATTTGTGGTTTTACATTCACACTGATTCTTTTTAATCGTTTGACAAAACTCAATGAATGAATATTGTAGTGAAAGTTTCAATATAGGGAAAACTGAAATAAGTATTCACATCGTCGAATTAGCTTATTTGTTAACTTCAGATTATTAGTTTTCTGTGTTATGTAGAAGAAAAACTGCAAGCACGTGGGATAAGATTATGAAGTTAGCTGTATTTTACAGTATTCATTTGCTTGTGTCGCGTTAAACAAAAAACATCTCATGTACTAGTAATCTGAGTGCATTCCAAACTTGACGTTTTTAAACGATACTATTAGTCCTCACAACCTTATTTTAATACATTTGAAAATAACTTTGTTTTCGCGTTTGCCATACTGTTAAATTGCATTTGTGGATGTGGAATAGTATGCGTGTTTGACAGATAAAAATAAGTTTTGTTGATTTCCTGTCCAAGCCTACAAGCAAGTTGTCCTGATGTCGTAAGATACTTCCCTTTGTATTTCAGTTATCAAATCATTCACAAAATACATGTAACCAAGGAGTCCTGGCTGCTTTCTAATTATGATTTGGGTGACTATAAATCCGAAGGAATTGCTTTGCCTGAAACTAGTGTACTATATGCAGAATTGCATTCCAATCATTCTGATAATTCAACAGAAAATTGTTTGCTATCTATCAAGGCACTAAAAGAAACTAATCCAAAACAGAGGTGAGCAGTCCTTAATGTTTTTTTTTATTTTTAAAAACTGATAACTAATATTCAGTTCTTACCTGTTTGATTAATTTTCACTGGTAGTAGCATTAACTGAATACATCTTCATTCTACTGCGCCTAATTTTTTTTTAATAAAGTCAAAGAAATAGAGTAATGCGGTGAGATTTTTTCTATTTTTATTTAGTCTTGTCGGACAACTAATTCCAACCATCATTCGATGAATCATATCAGTGCATTATTAAAATGTTTCTCATCAAGTGGTTACACTCCATGTATTTTCTGCTTCCCTACCATTGTTTAAAAAGGGGAGTGACATTCTAATAGAGGTACTAATGGGAGAAGTAGGCGAGTCTGGCTTCCTTTACAAATGCCACAATGATATTTATCTGTCTGCAGAGAGCCTAAGCAGGATATATGCAAGACACTATTTGCTTAGTGTTAAATTCTGAGTTCACAGGTTTTCAGCCTTAGCGTCCGACTTTGATAACCACCATAGATACAGTCTAATATTGAAGATAAAAATTGAATAGAGGGTACTGTATTCTTATCATATCTCATTTCTCTGCTGCAGCTTTATTATGCCGTCAGTATTTTGCTTGATACATGTACTTACTTTTCATTTTAAACTAGTCTATATCACCTGTATGTGGCTGGCAAACAATATTGATTAGAATATATATATATGTATAACGTAGCTACCTATTTTCTATGCTTGTTTGGTCGTAGGCGTATACATGTATGGACTGTAGTGTGATTGAAGTCTGCGCAGGTGTTCAGTAATAATAATCACTTAATTCTAAGTGGTGTTCCAACTGGCTCTCCATCAATAGCTTATGGCTAAGTGATCTATTTGTATCCATTGTTGATTGGATGTTTGTAGTCTCTAGTTGAAGTAATATTTTCCCCTACATTTAAATTAATGCTGGTCAAGGACCGGTCATTATTTGGACAGAATTGCAAAACAGGATTACTATTGTCTGTTCGTCACCAAGTAATTCCTTGGGTGCCTCCACTTTTTGAACCGACAAATCTTCCCATTAATATTTAGTATAATTTAGATAACTCTTACGATCTGCAGAAAAAGTTATTTCATTCCCAGACTCTTCGTAGCCGGATATGCACATGACTAGCGTTGTTGTATGTTAAACTGACAAGCGTAAAGCTTTATCAAACGCAAAAATAATTTTGCCATATTATGTCTCTAGTTGAATAATGTTAAGTGCATCACTAAAGGAGCTTTGTGTGTAATTACCTGTTTATCGCCTATCCTCAAGACGTTCGGTTTTCCTTAGTTATTGATGTTCCTACTAATAAATGCAAAAACACAGTGACTGGCTTCCAGATGAAAAGAGGGATTTTGGACGACTCAGCTGTATTCTTTTATGTCATTTAACTTATTGCTCCTTAGTAATGACGAAACTGACCGTATATGTCTCAGACTACTGTGAAAAGTATCGTTGTGCTGTTGTAATTTGGTGGTGTGTTTGAACAAAGTGGAGATCACCATTCATTGAATGTCGTCATATGGAAACACCGGCTCCGGTGGCTTGGACATGTGCTCCGAATGTCACCCCAGAGGCTTCCGTACAGGTTTCTGTTCGCTAGCCCTGGGACGGGATGGAAAAGGCGGAGAGGTGGTCAGTCCATGACATGGCGTCGTGGGATGAAGGATTTTTGTGCTAGATTAGCATCGGTTGGTGTGTCACGACTCCCTGGTTGAGGTCCGAGAGATAGCTGAAATCGATGGCTCGAAACGTTATCGGATATGGCCAAGAATCGTAATCAGTGGCGAATGTGTTGCGATTTCTTTCTTTCTTCCCTTCCCGATGATAGCTAACGAACACTGTTTGAACTTGTTAAGCATGACTGTTTTCCTTCCAGATGAAGTTCTTTATCCGTTCTCTACTGATATATATTTTTTCTTTTCCTTCCTTTTTTTTGATCTATGTTGTTTTATTATTATTGTGTGGTGCATCTTTCTTGGTGCCATATTGTACCAAGTTTTTTATGCGTTTAAATAAAAATAATAAAATAAAAATTTGGTGGTTTTAAAGTTGACATTTGTTTATTATCTTTTTTTCTTTAAAGATTAGAACATCTTCTGAAGTTGGAGAAGTTTGAAGAAGCAAGGTTACTTGTCAAAAGTTTCAACCTTGACTCTTCAGTAAGTCGCATTATATTATTTTTGACAATAGACACTTGACGTAAAAATATTCTTGTTGACTTTGTTCTATCAGTCCTTTGACTCAACCTCTTGCTGTTGTCATCAAGTGATGATGTCAACGACACCTGTATTTACACTGAAAATAGTTTTTTCGACTGTTGTTAACTTTTCTTACTCCTTTTTTATCATGCACATTCATAGTTGCGAATTGAACTTATACACTTTTGTACCATGTTTTAAGGCGATAAGTCATTTTACCAAATAATCAGTCATGAAATGTTTGGTCAGCAGACAATGAAGCGATCTAGCAGGATGATATTTTTATTACCTGGCTTAGATTTGAACTGCAAACATAGTGGTTCCAAGTTTAATTGCTGATCTAGTTTACTGGTTTTTGCAGCTGTTTCACTATGGAATAAGACTAAAATTGAAGTATTAACTTCGATTACTTGAACTACTTTGTAATTCCTCTTATATATGCAAATGTGAACAAGGCGTCATTAATGTTTTTTTTTAAAAGACTGTGATATTAGATCTTATCTGATTGACTCTTTAAAAGTCAATTTAATAGTAACCTTAGTTTTCACGTTATTTTTATTATTACTAAAATTTGTCTTTCCTTTTTTTAAAATAGGATTTCCAATTGGTAGTGTTAACTGAATTACAGTTTATTGTGAATGCCATTCATAAACAAGAGGATGATGTGAATCCCCTTTATGCAAGACTTCTTGAGTGTCTTCAAGAAGTTGAAGTGAGTGATATATGCGAAATTCCATTTCAGACTTTAGTGTATTCATTTACCTCTAACATGATCGATAACATGTCTGTTTGATGATAACTTTGTTCACCAAGAATTCAGAAGGTACCTTAATAAAAATGCTTTTCATCTTTCTGTCTTGTCCAGTTCTCATTTATTCCCTTTTATTCTTCAGTTTATACTGATGAGCTTAGATCACCTGCATCTGGATATTATTACTCCCATGGGTTTTGAGTGGAACACGGGGCTTCAACAACACATCTCCACTTTTTCCTATTCTCTGCTGTCCTCTACAGCTACGTACACAATAGCCCATAATCTATCATCTCCCCCATGTCACCCTCACCTCAGTGTCCCACTCGTCGCTTCCTATTGGGATTCCACTAGAGCAATGGCCTGGCGAACGATGTCATTTGACGGCCTCCTCAACGGCCTGATCCATCTCCGCTTTTTCCTACATGTTTTTTGAGCAGTCGGTTCTTGGTTGGTTTGTTACCGGAATTTCCTGTTGCTAGTTCTATTTGGCCGTCCATTTGATTTTCAGTATGGAGCCAGCCAGCGAGTTTGGCAGCTGTTGATAAAATTCTGCAACCTGCTAGGAATCTTTTTCGTGACTTGCAGTGCAAGTTTCTGACCCATGTAGAATCAGTAACCGACCTCACATTTGTGTTGAAAATGCGAATCTTGTTCCATATGCTGAGTGTAGAAGATTTCTAAACTTGTTTCAGGCTAATGAAGGCGTATCTTGCCTTTCCGATTCTGACTGGCTTTGACATCTTCATCCGTTCTGTCTGTAGTACAGCTAGATATACTTTACCGTATACGTGTTATGCACAAATGACCTGAGTGATAAGCTGCGAAATGGCTAAATGTGTTAACTAGATAACAGACATAAAAGATAATTCGTGAAGTACGCGTAACTATCAATACCAACAATGATATCTATGCTTTACGCATACGTATATAGAGTGTCCTCATAATTTCTTTAACATGTCAAGTTTTCCAAGTGTAGGCAAGCTGTATTCATCTGTGATTTTCTGTATTAAAATTTAATTTTTTCCCATCTTTAAAAAAATTGTATGTTTAATGATTAGATGTTATGGAAGACTTTGGAAATTGTTGATTCGATTGCAGAAATTACCATACCCAATTCAGATGATCAAATGAAATTACTTCTGATATTGAAAGAAAAGGTTAGTTATTCCATGTACATAGTGAGGCCAGTTTTTTTTTTACAATAAGCTATTATTATGAGTATTTACTCTATTGTTTGGAAAAGAATATGTGTCGGAGGTTCAGCGGTTGAACCCTCGCTAAATACTTACATGATCTGGGATTCAGTCCCCGGTCGACGAACTATTAAACCTCGCTAAACCGGTAGGGAAGGCCAGTAAGGAGGGGCTAGCAACCCTACACCATAAAATTAAACCACTGCTACTGAAACTTCAAATGTCTAATGTGTACTGCATATTACAAATATGCCTACAAAACCATTGTGAAGTTACTTTGAAGTTTCGTGTGTATCTATCCTATAGCAACTGTAAAGGAAAAATGGGTTATGGTACTGTTTTTCTCTTACTAGGAGGAATACTGCACAATCTTTAGGAATATATCCTCATTGGTTGGAACACTCGACTGAAGTTCGAATTCTGCCCCACTTATTTCACCGTGGACATTGCGTAGTGTTGTCAGTCTTCATACAGTAAATGTGGCTTATTATCTGGCACATAAAAATCTGCTCGGAGTAGTTAATCGGTATTGCAACATTAATTGAAGCTTGTATGTACAAGTGAGCGGTTAGAAGTAATTAGAAAATTTGACTATAATGCTATTGGTATGACGAGTATCAACATCATGTAAACGAATCTAAGTTTCGAAGATACAATTTTGGACAGGGTGGATATTGTCTAAATGATTCCACCAACCTAAATGTCTCAGACGTGTACTCCGAACACTTTGGAATCTCTTATACTGTTTATTTTCAGTAGTCGTTTGGTGAAGAATAGATTTTGTTTGCTGCTAACCTATTCAGCTACCGTGACTTCCTGAATGAGTTCCGGAAGTCAGTAGAACTCAGTGAATTAAAACATTATCAGATATCGCTCAAAAGCCAAGTCGTTTCTTGTGAAATGTGGAAATGTTGTGACTCATTGGTTTCAGCGCTCGGCTTTCAACCAGTTTCTCTGGGGTTCGAGTCTCGCTTCATCTGCTTTCGCTTGAGCAATTGAGTAGTATCATCAGGAGTCACACGATAAGTGTGACTCATTACCTGTTACCGTGTAACTGAGTTCTAACTAAATAATCTGTTTGAATAATTAAGTATTAAAGGAAACTGTAAAACATTTCACCACATAACGTCACATACCAATTTCGTATGGATTATTTACGGTGTTTATTTCTCGAATTATTTTAGCTAATAACTGACAATCTTGAAAGCATCTCTCCTGAACATCAAGAAAGGGGAACTAAAGTGAGTTATGCACATTTTAATAACGAGTTATTTCAAAGTTAGAGTTATTTCTCATTTGATGTCCTATTTTTGTATGCCTACCCGTAGATTGGTAATATGTGTGGTTCAGAAACTTGTGTTTAAGGTGTTAAACAGTAATGACTCTAGATCATGAAATATTAAATTAGAATTTATAAACCACTGAATCTTAGATCAGTAACTAAGTGTTGACATACTAACCTATTAATCGAACAACGGTGTCTATTTTTTAAATTTTTGATTACAGCTTGATTCCACATTGTATTTTTGGTACAAGTATGTAATTTTCAGCATGGATATCGGTAGCCCAAGTTTTGCCGGCCGACCATAGATATCAGGTGTGCGTCGGCAGGGGATCGAACCTCGGACCATGTGCACGGTCAGCGAGAGTTCTTACTACTGTGCCACCGACGCACCACGTCTATCACCACTGTGCTACAGTTTCTGTTTGACAAATTCAGACGGCCCATTAACTTATGACACACTGAGATGATTGAAGGGAGTTGTATTCATACATGAAACAATAAGATAGTTTTTCGTATCATCATTGGATTCTGATTGGTTGTAGTGTCATGTAACAAGAGGTGGCTGTCGTGGCCCAAGTGGTCTAGTGGATAACGCTTTGGCGTGTGAAACTATGGGCACTGGGTTCGAGCCTCGGTGGTAACATCATCACTCACTGAGAAATGCAGGTACATCCAGTTGACGAGTCCCAAATAGGACGAAATGCGCATCCTGGATTCCACTGCTAGCCACCATCCACCAATTGTATACTAATTAAATGCCCAGACATCGTCGAAGCACCTGCACAAGAAGCCGATATGTCAACCTGAGACCGAGCACTTCGGTCCAATCAATCGACGGGAAAATCGAAAATTCAATTCAAAAGGTCATACATTGTTTATTTAGTTAATGGACAGACAAAACATATTGTGAGTTATAATGGAATAACGATCAATATACACATAGTAAAAATATATCAGACTGTCAAAACAAAGCAGACATCATGTGACTACATATCAGAAATCGACAGGAAGTCTTGGATCTAGGTTTCGTCAGCAAGGCATATCTTTCATATCAACAAAAGGTTGTATGTCTCCAAAGATGTGTCATTCAAATTGTAATTTTCGCATAACAATCATGTAATTCACAAGGCTTTAATGGGTTAGAAGGTAAAATAAAATAAGTAAATTACGTGACCTGATGTAATTGACAGGGTTGAGTAGAGCTCACCTAAAATTAAAAGAGAGTTAAGATTAGTGTTATAAAAAGCAGAAATATAATGGTGTGATAGGAGAGAAATAATATAATTTATACCAAAAAAGCCGCAAAAAATTAGGATAGACAAAATTACGTATGAGGTGTTCATTATAGGTTCATTGACTGAACATAACATTTCTACTGATCTTAATCCGAGTCCCTTTCAATTTTAGTTGAACTCTACTCAATCCTGTCAATTATATTACGTCACGCAATTAACTTATTTTTATTTTATCTTAATTTCTACCACATTAACGCTTTGTGTACTACGTAACTGCCATTTCAAACTCAGTTGTAACCTGAGAAAATGATAACGATTGTTTGCCTAGTGTTCCTTTTGTAGTTTTTTTTTCTCCACAGTGTATAAAAAATGCTGAACTTGTTAGGATGACTAATGGGTTGATTCTTCTGGCTTTTTAGAAATAAAATGTCGACTCTTAGTATTCTGTGCTGTAAAACATAAATTTCAATCATTTCATTGTAAATCTAAAGTCTGCTTCATTTTATACAACATTTCCAAAGTTCATTACCTATTCTGTTCATAAATATAAAATATCCCATCAGCTTTTTTATGTATTGCCTTTCACCGGTCATAGGATACATATATATATATATATATATATATATATATATTCGCTTCGTTGTGCAAAATAATCTTTGTTGTGTACAAATGAACTGTCTCGGACTTTGTTTATTCATGTCATATATACTCCTTGTTCATTAACATATTACTTCTAGGTTTGATGCGCTTGCTGAATAGAATAGAAAGTTGTGATGAGTAGTTTTATAATTTTTAGTTATACAATCATGGCATAGTTTTGAACCAGTACGTTATTGCATTAAGAATTCAGTAATGTCGGAAGGTCCTGCTTCCGAACCCTGTCGGTGGGTGCAGTCTGCTCAGTACTCCCAGGTTTTCCAATGGTTCTCTAATTGATATCAGCTTGTGATCAAACCTGTAGTGTTATCTTAATGCCATGTAACAGACGTAGGACTTATCAAGTACGTATATCCACATGCACTTGGTAAAGCGCCTAGTCCAGTATTTAATAATCAGTGATACTATTGTAACAACAAAAGACAAGGGCCGGCAACAGGTCGTTTCATTAAGGAAATCAGCACGTATTTATATATATTTCACGTACATTATTATAGCTGATTCAAGCAGACAAACACAGTCTTCTGATTGATTGTTTCTGGTTTCTCGGAAAGTTAAGTCATACATCTGCGAATCTTATTTGCCCACGTTAAGTTTGCTGTGATTGGTTGTTGAATCAGCCTTGTTCATATTTTCTCACGGCCAATATTAGTGACCTAGACATTAACGTAGATTAATGTCTACCAGTTAGCTAGCACCCTGCTGTCACCACACTATATGATTCGTAAGAATCATTTAAGTAACACAGATTTAAATGAATATGTCGATATCACTCAGTTCATAATTATTCTTGGATATATTTGAATTTCTTCTTCAGGTTCTTCGTTTACTCAAACGTTTGAAGGCATTTCTTTTAATTTATCGGTCCTCTTCTTATACGTAAGTTTTTATAATTGTCTGATTATTAGAAAAATTGACTTTAAGTTAATGAGCTTTGCATATCATGTCATCATAACTTTGTCTCTCTTTTATTCAGAATATATCTTGACTTAATGATGTTTGGCAGTAGTGATGAATAAATAGCGTTAAATATAATTATGTTGCTCATTTTCACAAGTCACGTTTTGTTTCAATTTTTCCCCTAACCAACTTAATTAACAACAATAGTTCTTTTCCACTTTGTTGTTCCAGTGGACTGGTTGCATTTTGAGTACTTTCTTGGCATTTTCTTCATGACCATAACATAGCCACAGTACTTGTCGATCAATGGATTCATATATCCACCCCCAGGTAAAGGAATCCGGCGATTGCTAGATGCCAGTATTTACACCTGTGTCCAAAGATTTACTGTCGGAGGCGGGTAAGGTGAAAGGATGACCAATAAACCTCTGCTTAAACCTGAAACTCTCCAGGTTTTATTTCTCTTGTTTTTCCGTAGCACCACGTAGTCTTCGTAAGACTGTGGAATCTAGAGTCGTAGGTGCAGTGTTAGTCAAGTTGATCCCCCTTCCTGTAATTATCGCGGAGACATTTACTTATTTTCTTATAATCGGGATAATCAACAACCTACACTAGTTTTATGGGACTACCTAGAATTCCTATATGCTAGCTAATATAATACCTTAGTTAATCAAGTCAGTGGTTCATCACCACCTTCTCTAAAAACTCCCGAAGTCATGACAACAGGTCCTGCTACAGCCAGGTGAGGGCTTACGGCGAATTGTCATCTGAACTGATGACGACCAGTGGTGTCCGTCAAGGATGCCCATTATCTCCTTTTCTATTCAACTTCATCATAGATGTGTTGATGGACTTAACCCTAGGTGACTTCAGTGACTCAGGAATTGACTTGCTACCGGGGAATAATCTCGTTGACTTGGAATATGCAGACGATATAGTCCTTCTAGGCGAAGACGCTGACGAAATGCAGAGTCTTCTAAACACCTTGAGCCGCAATCTACGAATGTTTGGCATGCGATTCGCTCCCGCCAAATGCAAGATGATGTTACAGGACTGGACTATATCGACGCCTAGTTTAAAAATAGGAAGTGAAGTGGTAGAGCACGTTGACCGCTTCACTTATTTGGGAAGTACCATCAGCCAGTGCCAACGGGTTGATCTCTGACGAAATCTCATCACGGATACAGAGGGCTCGTTTCGCATTCGTTAGTTTACGCCGACTCTGGCGTAGACGAGATGTTCGACTATCGACCAAAGGGCGGGTGTACTGCTCATCAGTCCGCTCCGTCCTCCTTTATGGCCATCGGTGAGACCTGGCCACTGAGAGTGGAAGACATGAAAAGACTAGCTGTCTTTGATCATAGGTGCCTTCGCTCTATCTCCCGTGTAAAGTGGCATAATAAGGTGAGCAACATGGAGGTTAGGCGTAGAGTTCTAGGTAAACAGGGGAAATCAATCGACGAAGTCGTGAAGCTACATCGACTGAGATGGTTAGGACATGTGTTACGTATGCCAAGTCATCGCCTCCCTCGACGAGCTATGTTAGCGGATATAGGGTCAGGCTGGAAAAAAGCTAGCGGTGGTCAAACAAAAACTTGGCATCAGTCAATGAAATCCACAACAGTTGGTCTAAGCCACGTAGGAAGGTGTAGACTTCCAGGCTGGGGTCCTCGGGACGGTAAAAATCAATGGTTGGAAACAATTGGTGACATGGCTCAAAACCGTTCTCAGTGGCGCAGATGCATCCACTCCCTGTGACTTATGATCTTCAATGAAACTGTTTTGTTTTTCTTTATTACTCCTTTGTCTCACACCTCTGCTCACTGTTTCTATTATGCTTTTCTTGTACTTTCTTCTCTTGCTTCGCGTGCTACACGGAATGTGGCGACTTGAACTTCCGCACATTTGTGCAAAGTTCTATGTCGAAAACAGACAGACAGACAGACAGATTTCAGTTGTATGATTCTCTACTTTACTTATCTGTGCTTATACTGCTCTGTGGACTTATTGTTTTCTATGGTATGTAGAGATACCCCAACCCTGGAATTTTATAGAGATTCAATCTGAATAATGTCATTTTGAGTAGATAAACTAATTTTATTGATACAGTAGTTTTCACTAGTGTTGAATAGACGTTTGCTCCGGTCGCATGATTCTAGTAGGTAAGTACTGGTCGTTCTATTGATTGGCTACATACTACATAATCCTTACTAAACATAGAATGCATCCACTCCCTGTGACTTATGATCTTCAATAAAACTGTTTTGTTTTTCTTTATTACTCCTTTGTCTCACACCTCTGCTGACTGTTTCTATTATGCTTTTCTTGTACTTTCTTCTCTTGCTTCGGGTGCTACATGGAATGTGGTGACTTGAACTTCCGCACATTTGTGCAAAGTTCTATGTCGAAAACAGAGACAGGCTACTTTCTTTCAGTGAAGATTAGAGATAGCTTATGAAATCTCAGGTACAGACGGAGGACCAATGCGTGCATATAATGCAGGTAAAATAGAGTAGCTCAGTTAAATTTCTCCTCAAAATGTTCTGTCCAACGTCCCAGCCATCTCACCCGAGAAGTAACTGAAAATTCACCCTTCTAGGAAATCATTTCACTTGCCATAGGTTTTTTTCAAACCGTTTCCCTAGTGGGTCTCATTAGTTGATGGGATACCTTTTCCCCAGTTCTTTCGCTTTTGTCATCCACTGTTGTTGTTGGTTGTTGCGAAGGATTTTGTCTAGGTTTTGCTCTCTTCAAAGTCGTAAGCCGGCTGGTAGCAATCTTCTTGCATCCATCGGCTTGAATTAATCTGTAGAAATCCACTGGCGTTTACTCTCCTTTGGTTACAGATTATCAGTAGCTTTTATCCGCGTCTCCACAGTAGACTAGTTATGATGCCACTGTGCTTCGAGGTGAATATTGCTAGTGCTATCATGTGTTTAATTATTTCATTACTAAATACAAACTTTATAATGTCATCAAAATTTTTTGTGTTAGGGTTTCACAGCTGTTCATTTACTACGTCCGTTCACCGACTAGCGCTTAATCACAGCCTACTTAGATGTTCGCGTAGGAGGTAGCAGTCCTCCTTTGACTCCATCGGGGGATTATAAACTAGGTGATCTGGTATCCACTTGGCACCTTTCGAATTTATCCACTAGTATTTTGGGTTGTTCACTGCTTATGTAAGTTTCAGAGAGGCCAAACTTAAATTATCGTGTCGTTTAGAAATGTTGAAGTAATAAACAATAATGAGTCTACAAATTAGTTACGTTATCTGGTAACAACAGAACACAGCAGTATGTGATAGCAGAATTTTTTTATTGGCAAAATACAAATACCTTAAACTGAAATTCTTATTATTTTTTCTTTCATGTTTCTTATGTTGTTTCACAAAGATCTTTAATTTCTTCTCTTCGCTATTTAATCCATCCTTTCACTATTCAATATGACTGTCTGACTGGCTTCAACGTTTAACTCTGCACAATGTGCAGCAGTTCGAGTTGCCACATATGTGCCTCCATGTATCACACAAAGCAACAGAAGGGAGTAGAGAGAGATCCAAAACAGATGTAATAAATAGAAATATGAAGAAAAAGAATGATGATATGGAAGAACTAATACTTGAATACCACATAGTTTTATTGGATATTATAAATCACAAGGAGTGAATGCATCTGCCCTATTCATTGAGAACGATTTTGAGCCATATCTTCAATTGTCTCCAGCTTTCATCGGTGTTTACCATCCCGAGGACTGCAACCAGGAAGTCTATACCTCTGTGTGTCTGACTGGCTTAAACTAACTGTTGTGAATCTCGTTGACTGATGAGACCATGTTTTGGTTTGACCACCATTAGCTCACTCTTTTCCAACCTGATCCATCGTATTTCAGCTAACATTGCTCATTTTCGAGGGAGGCGATGGCTAGGCTGGATATGTGTAACACGTGTCCTGACCATCTCAATCAGTGTAACTTCACAGCCTCATCTATTGATTTCCCCTCCTTACCTATCACTCGACCGAAGCCTAGCCTCAATATTGCTCACCTTGTTATACCATCTGACATGGTAGATAGAGCACAGACACCTATGATCCAAAGCAGGGAGCCAGCATTTTCATGTCTTCTACTCTCACTGACCATATCTTGCTCACAGCCATAAAAGAGGACGGAGTGAACAGGTGAGCAGCGCACACCCAAATTCTGTATCCGTGCCGAAATTTCATCAGCGATCAACCCACTGGCACTGGCTGATGCAACTTCCCAAATAATTGAAGTGGTCAACACGCTCAACCACCACTTCACTCTCTATCTTTAAGCTGGGAATGAGTCAATGTAGTCCAGTCAGTTCTGTAGCACCACATCATTGTACATCTGGCAGCAGGAGCGAATCACATGCCAAGCATTCTCAGATTGCAGCTCAAGGTGTTCAGAAGACTGCATTATGTCAGCGTCTCCATCTAGTAGGGAGGACTATATCATCCGTATATCCTAAGTCAACGAGATTACTCCCTGATGGTAACAAGTCAATCCATGAGTCTTTGAAGTCAGTTAGGGTTAAGTCCATTATGACGACACATTTATGATGAAATTAAACAGAAATGGGAAGTTATTCAATATTCTTTCGGAAGACATCACACGCAGTTATGACTACCTACAAAATCTTGTCAGAAGAACCCGAGACAATCTCTTACTATTGTATTTGGCACTAGAAATAAAATCTGTTGCACTTTACACAATTTTCTTCAGCTGTTCATGTATTTCTTGTACACACTTGGAACTTCGTGTAAAAGTTGTATCGTTTTCTTAATCTTTAACATTTTCTTTTTTTTAACCATAATTGATGATTACTGTGGTTAAGTTTATAACTTGTTAACTTTCTTGTTTCTCTTTTAGACCAGAAGCGTGGATTACATTTCGAGATGCAAATGTTGATGCTCTATTTACTAATCTTTCTATATCGAAATTACAACATGATCAGGCAGCCTCACTGGATCAAGCATTTTTGTTATGGATGATGTACAAGGTTGGTGGTTGTGTTTAATATATATATATATATATATATATATATATATATATGCTCATGAGATTATCAGTGGTTTCCTATTCATCGGAATATTTTGTATCATTGCCGATATTATTTAATAACTTGTGTTCAGAACACAACGGAGTAGTAGGTATTACAGACAATGACTAATGCTTCCTTCCACTGATATATTTTTTATTCCTTTTAGCGTCATCTTGATCTGTCATTGAGAATAACCACTACACATGATGGTGATATGATTATTAATCTTGCCTGATCACACAACACCGCTGATACCATGCCACAGCCTGGTATTCTTAGTAGTTTTACAGTTTTCCCTCTCTGATTAGTATTATAAAATAATGAAGAGGTTTTTATTGAGTTATAAAGCTTTTGCGACGATGAATGTATCGCTGAAGAAAATTATTCAAATGAATTCGTTTACTTCATGCATGATTAGCTTGAACAAGGAGAGAAACGAACATGTTCACAGGATAAAAAGAGCTCATGTCTTCTTATTTCACGTGTTGAAACTTCCAGACTGAAACCAGCAACGGTTGAGAAGAGACCGTTTTTTTTTATTTATTTGCTTGGTGTACAGTTGGGAGAAAGCATCAGCAGGAATAGAAAAAAAAGAATCATTTTATTTTTTATTTTCATTATACCTTGATTCCACACCGTATTTTTTGTACAAGTATGACGTTTTCAGCATGTGATATCGGCAGCCCGAATTCCGAAGGCCGACCATTGATATCAGGTGTGCGTCGGCAGGGGATCGAACCCCAGATCATGTGCATGGTCAGCGAGAATCCTAACCGCTGTGTCACCGACGCACATAGATGCATTGAAAAGATTGTTTCTCACCACCAGATTGATTTTTCTTATTAACACGAAATGCTCACTAACACAGTCCAAAGCATATCAGTACACTGATCAAATCAACTGTAGCTGTATTTACCAGTTCAAATGTACTCGCAGCGGTAAGTACATAGGAAGGACTGAGTGGAGAATATCTACTAGATTTTATGAACATATTGCTAGCAATTTTCATATGAAAAGTAAGAATGTGTTTGTCAGTACCATTGTTAAGTACCTACCCGATTGACAAGGGGTGTTCAGTTGAAATCAGTCAAGCCTTTTCAATATGATCAACATTCAGAGAAAACCCCGGTTTGCAGAAGCCATTGTTACCACATGATTTCACTCTAATCTCTCTCTGTATACAGAAAGATGGTGTAATTAATCTCTCACTACCCTGATAGCTAGATGCGACTGTTTTGTTCCGGTGTTACATTCCTCTAAATTATAAGTCATTGAGTCAAATTGACTATTGGTCTTCTAATTTATTATTTTATGGCAGAACTTTTCTTCCATTTGCCATTTCTTTTCACTCCCACACCCAATAAAACTATATTTTTTTTCGATACCACTATTGCTTTTGCCTGATATCTCTGTTTATTGTCTCTATTTTGCATTTCTTTTTACTTTCTTCTCTTGCTTCGCGTGCTACGTGGAGTGTGGCGACTCAAACTGCTGCATATCGGTGCAAAGTTCTGTGTTGAAACTAGTCAGTCAGTCAGTCGCTCCCACTTTCACTCCTTTCGAATGTTCCACCAAATTATGTATAAATAAACTCTGCTTATTAGATTATTAACTATCTTATATTCATATCTCATGTTCCACAGCTGTGTCCTTTGAGTTGAAATAACTTTGAGGTATTTTATATACTTCTAATAATAACTTGCGTTATTTTTAGTCCGTTAATAGCCGATGAAAAGTCATTGAATACAAGAAAGAATTTATTTCGATTTTCTACAAATTATTCAGTTATCTTTTTATTCATAAAGATAATTTCTTTGTTATTTCCGTTAACAGGGTGAATTGACACAATTTTTAACTTGGGATTCCTTGAAAATCCTATGCAGTACACTATCCAAGCGACCTTTGACCTACACACTTTCATGTGAATTTACTGACGAGCATAATTCTAGAGAAAGTGAATTGATCGAGTCTGAAGAAGCTGTTCATAATTGGTTACGAAATGAACTGTTGCCTCTTATGATAAAACAATGTCCAGATACCTTGGTATGCTATTTGATGATAATCTATATTCATATTTATACAACTGCATGCATTTATTTATTCAGAGTCTAACTTGTAGATAGGTGAATTAGTTTATCAGTGCCTCATCGTTCTAAACTCTTACTTGTAATATCTTATTCTGATATTGTTATGTTCTTATTCTTCTTTTCAACTAAGTTGTATCGAATTCATTAAAGACGCAGTTTAGCTTCAAGTGAAGCACACTATCCTTTGCTAGGTTGGTGAGCTAACGTGATTAGGTTTGAATTGATGTACCTAAAGTTGTATGGCTGTTTTATTGCCAGTTGTGTACACTGTTATCTCCTTCCTTTAGGTCTTGTGAAACGCCTTAAATGTGTGCTGTGAAATGTACTACATTAACTACTTTAGTTTATCTCTAGATATAAAATTGATACAATTTTAAAATTATATTACTTTAGAAGGATACTGTGTGCTTGGTATTCAGGTATTTTTGCGTCGGTGTCACAGCGGTAGAATGCTCGTCAGCCATGCAGGTGGTCCGAGGTTCGAACCCCGGCCGACGCATTCCTTTTCCTCGCTAAGGTAGTAATCAGACTGGTAAATAGGAAAGCTTGGGCATGAGGCCAGCAACCCCATTCCGTAAAAATAAACACCATTGCTATTTAAACTTCAAGCCTCTATCTTTAAGCCGTATGTTCCACTGCGAACGTAAAGGAATAAAAAAGTGTTATTCAGACAGTTTGTTTCTGGTGCATCCAGGTATTTTAAGAAAGAAAATGAAATTCGCGCTCTTGTTTGGTCTGAAAAGTGACTTTTACAGATAGTTTTCGTTGTTAACATTATATATATATATATATTAGTTGTCCTTTTAAAAATAGAATCAGTAATGGTAATAATAAACCATTCTTTACAGGATTTCATCATGAGCTGAAATTGGTTAGAGAACCACTGGAAAACCTGAGAGTACTGGGCAGCTGTTTCGTCCTAGTTTGGGACTCTTCAGCAGTACGTACCCACCGGGATTCGAACCCAGGACCTTCTGGTTACAATCAACTAAATCCCTACAAACCAATACTTGAAAACGATTTTTTGTTGACCTATGAATGAATTTCTTCTAAATGTAAAACATCAATACAATAAAATAAGCTAAACTGTATAAGCTTTTGTGAAAAATTCAGTACTGTGAATCAGTACATATTTGTGGACTTACTAGCTACCAACCACATTTGGTGTGATAGTTCTTGCTACGAACTCGTTACCTGGGACAAAATGTGTCCATGGTTCAGTGGTAAAATACACACCAATCACGTACATGATACGGGGTTCGATTCCAGCATGACACACTGCTAAACCTCATTCAGTTCACTAGCCGATAGTAAGCCCGAAAAAAGGGATGGTTGGGCGTAAGTTTAGCAGTACCAACAACATTTCTACTGAAATTCCTAGAATTTCAAGTCATTGACGCAAGGAATATAAAAACAAAAACCCATTGGAAGAAAGAAGTAAAGTGTTTCGAAACTAGGTGCTACTAATTGATAAATGATTGAGCTGTTGTAATGCTATTTTCTGCACTGATTATGTTTAATGATACTCAATAACAATCTCCAGAAACTGTTCGTAGATGACTACTGTATTTTTCTTGTTCCCTCGCGTCGCCTGAGACTTGAAGTTTAAATAGTTGTGGTTTCATTTTTATAAGGTGAGGTTGCTAGCCTCACGCTCAGCCTTCCCTCTTTGCTCTGCTTACTACTGGAGTGGCGGCGTTTACGAGTGCTCCAGCTGGAGATCGAATCCTAGACTGCATGTGTGTTTGGTGGGTATTCTACTACTGAACGAACCACCACCGACACACTAGTTGGATGCATTTACTTCCTGTTAGTTAAGTTTTGGTTTTCGAAACCAGAGTGGAATAAAATATTCAATATTGAACAAAAATTCCAGATTAAAAAAAAATAAATTGAATGGAATGCTAATAACCTTTAACTTAATAGTCATATCAAATTCGTAATCTTTTAAGTGAAGTGATAAAAGATTTTGAGTCAAACTTCTTAAGGCAAGGTTCGAAACACTCAGACTAACTATAGAAAAAAAATCCTGTTTAAATGTGTCAGGCATAGTGGTTTCTATTTCTTTTATCCCAAATCATTCAACAATAAATTTTAAGCCTTAATTTCTACAGACCAATTTTTGAAATGCTTAAGATATAATGCTCTCAAGATTAAATTTGTTGTCGGTGCCAGATTGTATTGTTTGCATATTGTGTTTATTCCCTTACCAACAAACTGCCAGATATATCTTTTCGTATTGAATAACTTTTATGTCAGTGCCCGAAAGCCTCACTGTCTAATGTACACTAACTCAAGGTAGCCCCATTGTGAACAGTTCAGCAGATTTACTCATTCTATCGTTAGGCCAGTTATCTAATGTGTCTTTTTGAAAAAAAATGTAAGTTGTATGCGTGTTTGTTTGGTTGAATGGTGCCTAGCGGTGGAATCCAGAGTGCGCGTTTCGTCCTCTTTGAGGCTTCTACAGCTGAATATACATGTCTTCCCAATGGTTGAGTGAGGGTGTTCCCACCGAAGCTCAAACCCGGTACCTCCATCGTTCCAAACGCCATGGTGTTATCCCCTAAACCACTTGGGTCGAAGCGTCCATACTAGGAGCCGAGATATCAACTAAGGCCGGACATTTCGGTCAAATTAATCAACGGGAAAATCAGAATTGAATTAGAAAGAAATAATGCATGTGGTGGGGGAGGGTTGTCAACAGTTGACTTCGCATCACATTTGTCATTTACTGATGGATTATAAGACATAGTTAAATGCATGTGGTTTTGATTATTTCATTCCTTATAACTTGAATTTTTAGTACTTGCCTTCTAAGTTCCTATATGGTATCCTTATTTCTCTTCCTATGCCTTATACAGCCACTTTTGGTAGACTTTCTTGTTAGTCGTGTAAGAGATTTGGAGGCTTGTTCACTGAAATCACCGTCTGGTAATCATAGACGAGATGAAAAAGTAAAATGTCCTTTTCCATGGCCATCTACAGCTATCTCTTGGATAAATAACTTCTTGGAATCTGTTAATATACCAGAATCGAATAGTGAAGAAAACAGTATAAATACTATAGCATTATCAGATTTATACTTTTCTGGCTTGGCAAGTCGTAATCCTGATTTGGATCCATTTTATAAGCTGAGAAAATTGGCTGGACAGTTGGATACTATTAAACGTTTATCAGATGTGTAAGTGTGCCCCTTTTTTGTCGGTTATGTGTATTGAGTGTGTTTTTTAGAGCTCAGTTTTTTTTGTATTCATGTTTCTTTTTTTCAATGGTATTCCATCCAAATAGTCATTAAATTATTGTTGATTTTGTTTCCTGGGTATTTCTTTCTTTTGACAGCTGTGCATTGAAGCCATTCAGTTTATTATCAGTGCAGATCTATGCATATAACAAGTATATTTCAAAGGAAAAATATATGCATGTACTAATAAAGTCATAACTTTGTTCACTGACTAACCCAGTTCCCCTTCAGTTAGAAAATTTGGTGTTTGTCTATCTAGGCTACTTAGCATGGTGGCCACATTGCAAGCTTGACTGATAGAATTCAGTCTGCACCGAAGATAGGACTAAACACATTACACTAGTTACTGACTAGTGTGCAATCAAAAATATCCTATACAGTCCTACAGGAGGTCGATCGCGAGCCTGAATAGCCCAATGGTAACGTCTCTGATTGCAGCATTGGGTGATGCGAGTTCGAATCTCAGAAGGGACATGAGTTCCTTCAAGGTTGCAGATACGACTTGCTGATTGGTGGATGCCAAGTAGCACAAAACCTAGATCGAAGGCTTCCTGTGGCCGATTGCCTCCAACCATCTAATATCATCAAGTCATATTCAACTATCGATCAAAAGACCCGTGTGCGCATCTCAGCAATTCACTCTATCCCTGCCTTTATGACTAAAAGGACATGGCCACTGAGAGTGAAAGACATGAAAAAACTAGCTGTCTTTGGCGACAGATGTTTATATTCTATTTCCCGTGATAACTGGTATAATATGCTAAGCCATACTGAGATTAGTCGTAGTGTTAGGTAAAAAGAGGTAAGTCAATCGATGAGGTTGTGAAGATACATCAACTGAGGTGACTAGAACACCTGTTGTGCATACCGGGCTTGAAATCGCGTTCCTTAACAGGCGATGTTAGCCGACACGGGATTAGGTTGGAAAAGATTTAGAGGTGATCAAACTATAACCTATCACCAATCCATGAAGTATTTAACAGTTAGTTCGAGCCATGTTGTGTAGTATAGGTTGTCCGGCTTGGGACCTCAGGAACCTATAGCCAGAGACCTGTGGTGAAATGTATGGTCCAAAATTGTTCTCAGTGGCGCATGTGTATTCACTCTTTGTGATCTTCTACATCCACTAAATTCTCATGTCTTTCTCCATGCTACTATTCTCTTCCTCCCATATTTCTCCTCATCATAGTCCTTTTGGAGGGTGGTAACCTGAACTGCTGCACTTCTGTGCAAATTTCTATGTAAAAACTCGGTCAGTCGTGTCTGTCTGGGTTTATCTAAGCAATCAAGTCAGACGGAACTGTCATGTATTACATGCAGTTCACCACTTTATTACATTACTCCTTGTTAATATAATTAGGAATAAGCTCAGATTGACACGAAAACTTCATCACATTGTTGAATTGTCCTAATTTGGCAGAATTCTTGGTGATGATTGTATTTTCTCGTCTGATTATATTATCCTTAATGCCTATAGACTTTATATAATTTCAGCAAAAACATTATTTTCTATATGTCAACCGTGGATTTTGCCGCTTTTCGAATATTTGAACAAAGAAAGAAGAAAATTAGCACAGAATAATCTGGATCCATTTTATTTCGTTGGTTCTCATCAGCTGCGTTCAACGTGAATTTTTAACAAAATAAAAATGAAAAGTGTACAAGTTTGACAAACCTTTGTCCATTAGCAAGCATATTGTCGGAGCGTCTTATTAAAATAAGGCGTTGCGATTTACAGGGTGTCTAAAGTGCTACGATATATATATATATATATATATATATATATATATGTCTTGTTAGAGAGACGTTTCTTGAAAAAAATTAACTAACAGTTTGTTGTTGGGGTGGTAACAAAAGACAATTAGTCATAGGTGCCTGCGTTCTATCTCCCGTGTGAAGTGGCATAATAAGGTGAGCAATATTGAGGTTAGGCGTCGAGTTCTAGGTAAACAGGGAAAATCAATCGACGAAGTTGTGAAGTTACAAAGACTGAGATGGTTAGGACATGTGTTACGTATGCCTAGTCATTACCTTCCTCGACAAGCAATGTTAGCGGATGTAGGGTCAGGCTGAAAAAGAGCTAGCGGCAGCCAAACCAAAATATGCCACCAGTCAATGAAATCTACAACAGTTAGTCTAAGCCATGTAGGAAGGTGTAGACTTCCTGGTTGGGGTCCTCGGGACGGTAAAAATCAATGGTTGGAAACAATTGGTGACATGGCTTAAAATCGTTCTCAGTGGCGCAGATGCATCTACTCCCTGTGACTTATGATTTCCAATTAAACTATGTTGTTCTTCGTTATTACTATTCCTTTGTCTCACACCTCTGTTTACTGTCTCTATTATGCCTTTCTTGTACTTTCTTCTCTTGCTTTGTGTGCTACATGAAGTGTGGCGACTTGAACTGGCGCACATATGTGCAAAGTTCTATGTCGAAAACAGACAGACAGTTACGTAATTAGATAAGAGAAGATCAAAATTTTAAATTTCGGTGCACATGAGGTCAGATGAGGTGATGATGCAGAACTCAGAAGATCAAGAAAAATTATCTCTTAAGAAAGTCAAGCGAAAAAGAAAGGAGCGGGGGTGAAAAGACAAGTTAACAAAATTAGAAGACAAAGAGTTACTTAGCAGTGAGTCACCAGGGTAATTGAAGTCCAACAACGGATTCTTTGTGGAAACATAAGTCAGGCTTCAATCGTTTTATTGCTATAGCTTCAGCAAACCTGAGGAGACTTGAGGTACTTTGTCTGTTAATTATTCTGAATGATTCCAGCACATTTACTTGGTGTCCTGTGTCAATCAGGTGTTTAGCGATTGAAGAGCTTAGACAATTCGGTCCCTTTAACCGGAGGCTCCTTGGTACACATGTTCGCTTATCGAATATTTAATCTATAAGAAATTACTCAGTATAACTTTAAGTAGAGTGATTTCTCAGTATTTTTAACCCAACTATCTTTCATTTTTATAAATATTTCTTTATTTGTAAAAAAATTGATTACATTAGAAATAGTTTTCGAAGTGAAATTATCTTAACTTCATTGTAATAGAGCACACTGCGTTCGTGTATGGATTGCTAATTATGTTGTGACTGATTGATTCCTTCAACCTATGTGGCTGTTTTTCTTTTTTTTTTTCTTCTTCAGCTACAATTTCCACCTGTCTATCGACAGTTGTGAAGACGAAACTGACCTGTCTATTGCTTATGGTTTTCTTGATACAGCCTTCAATCTTAGTATTCCTTTTGATAAAGGTGTTGATAAATTGACAGCACAATATTTAAAGGTAAAGAATCAATTATCTTTCATTTATTTATTTATTCCTCCTCCCCCCATGATAACTATTTTGTATCATGTTGACATAAAATGTTATTAAATTTCTTAACTGGTTTTGCTGGGTTTCTTTTCCTTCTTCATATGGTTGTAATTTTCAACTGGGGAGGGGGCAATATAGAGTTATCCAAAGGCCTTATTAAACTTTAGATTTCTGTTTTGTGTTTTATATTTTTATATGAAAATGCTGCGAGTGTTAAAGTAAACGTTGCCTAGAGTAGAGAAAAAAAATAAACAAACGAACAAACTATACAGAGTTATTATTATTATTTCCTTTAATTCCTAGAGGAACATATGGCTTCAGCCGCACCTCTCCATTGCGTTCGGTTCTCTGCCAACGTTTTCACCCCGCTTCAAGTCCGCCCACATGTTTTCATCTCCTCTTCACATGACCCCCTCCATGTCTCCCACTCACTGACGACAAACTCGCCACTTCTCATTCGGATTCCATTCGAGGGCTTGTCTAGTGTTGTCGCTTGATGGTTTCCTCAGAGTATGGTCAATCTATCTCCATTTCTTCCTACCTATTTGCTGCACAATCGGTTCATGGTTGGTTGGTTCGCTCCCAGAGACCCCTCACTGTTGCTGATCTTTTCTGGCCGGCCATCTGATCTCGAGTAGTATTGAGCAAAGAGAGCTGTTGATAGAGGTCTGTAGTTTGTTTGAGGTGCCCTTCGTGACGCGCCAAGTCTCTGATCCGTATAGAGAGTAGCACTGACTGACTTCACATTCGAGTTGAAAATCTGGATCTTGTTTTTGATGGTGAGTGCTGTTGACCTCCACACAGACTTAAGAGTAATGAAAGCTTGTCTTGCTTTCCCGATCCTTGCTTTGATATCCTCATCAGTTTTGTCCGGCCGCAGTTGAAATGATGCTTCCTAGGTATGTAAAGGAGGTTGTTTCTTTCAGGTTCCTCCCATTTATGCTGGCTGATTGTTGTCTGTTGTTGTTGTTGCTGTTGGTGTTGCCCAAGATTCTTCATCACCTCTGTTTTCTCAATGTCCACCTGAAGTCCTATCTTCTCTGAATACTTCTTCTGCCAAGTTGTTGCTTTTCCATAGTTACTAAGCAAAAGTGCTAAAGCAGTCAGCGATTAGCTTTCAATCCAGCACATTACAGTAAGATTTAAACCTTAGAGGCTCATCAGTATCACGAGTTTTCACTCACAAGATAAATATGGCTCATCATATGTGAAGAGGTAAATGAAAGTCTGTGGGCACTTGTGAAACTAGCTCAAAAAAAAGACGGCATAGAATAGAATACAATGAAGCTGTCTTACTGAAAATCTCCCGATCCCCCTCCCCACCCTCATGTTCCACTCGGGAACCAAAGAAAAAATGATAAATTATGGTGTATAATTGCAAGCAATCATTAAAATATTTCAAATCAATAGAATTAGTACAAATCATCCAGTGTTTTTGTCGTTGCTTTCATAAATAGCCTATCACATTGCAGCAATCGTTTTGGTCATTGTTAAGTGGTGGCTTTTCGCTTGCTACATTTGTGTTAACCATTTCATCTGCATGCACTATTCTGATTCATGATAATCTCATGTGTCATATTTTGTATAATAATTTATACTGTCCTGTTTATTTGACTACTCTCAGTTTCCATCTGTTTACCAAGAGTAAATCAATTCCCAGTTTTAATAAAACGCTAACATATTTTAAAGAAATATTATTCATTGGTGTTTATTACTACTACTAATATTCATTGGCATATAATCATAATTATTTCATTTTTTAGGACAAAAATATTGACTATCAAACATTTCTTCAAGCTTACTCATCTCATCTAATTAATCGTATTCCAAGTTCACTGGCGTCAGAAAACGATGATCCTTCTGAAACTCCACCTTTTAGAATGGTGAAATTGAATGAAACACCTAAGAGTCTTATTCAGCGTGCATGTTTAGTCACCAGTTGGATAACATTACCTTTATGTCGAATAAAAGCTGTATTAAATTTGACTTCAGTTGTTCCTCTGCCTTGGACCGACAGTTTATTTCAATTGAGTGAAGATGTTTTAAAGCAAACTTGCATATCAAATTCTCAATCAAAGTATTTGGATGGATTAACGCAGGAGATGCATTCTTTGGAATTTCGTTACAACAAAGCTCGTCTTTATAAAATATATACTAGGTGAGTATTTTAGATTGATATTGTTCTAATTATGCGTACTCAATTTTCGAGGTGGTCTACTTACATTTGCATAAATTATCTTCTTAGTCTTACCTCTAAATAACAGCGTATAACTTGTTCCACTTAATCTTTTTTTTAATCATTTTCTATACTAGCGAAATCCTAATTTTATTTCCAGTTACCTTTGTACGTAAAACTTCGCCGATTATATGTCTACAGAAGTTATCGTAGGATAATGGCTTAGTTAATGGTTATTTAAAGTTTAAAGTACTGTATTCTATGTTCACAACTCAATGAAAATACTAATAATCACTGAAAAGCAGACCCGGAAATCAGTCGAAATGGGCATCTTGAGTTTCACTGTTAGCTAATTGTAAATATACAATTTAAGAAGTGTGAATCTTTATAAGTTTTAGCTTTTATTTCAAGAGAAAATTCAAGTCAAAGGTTAATCTGCATGTTAGCATTTAAAGTTGAGCAACATAAAGTTCCCGTGCAGTGGAGAAATCTCGAATCATCACGTAATAAACGGCCTCGTGTGGCCTTTTCAGTCATTCACCCCGGGGAATCGCGTCTGGCTGTGGCTAAAGGATTTTGTAAAGGAGGAGCAAAGCACCATCGCAAGGTTCTGTGTGACAACATCCAAGGAATCACAAGACTCGCTATCCACCGTCTTGCTCGTGGGGGTGGTGGTAGTGTGACACGCATCTCCGACTTGATTTACGAAGAGACACGTGGTGTCCTGAAGGTGTTCTAAGAGAATGTTATTCGTGACTACACGACACACACACCAAGCATGTCAAAAGGAATGCAGTGGTAGTTATGTATGTTGTGTAGACTTTGAAACACTAAGGTCATACTCTGTACAGTTTTGGTAGTTAATTTTCTGAATGAGTTGGACATGACCTGTATTTGGTCTGTAGTAGACTCCAACTCAGTCTCAGGTTCGAGTGCCGCCTCATCTACTTCAGCCTGGGGGCGAGTGGGTAGTATCATCAGCCTCCCGCACATTAAGTGTGGTTTATAGCCAATTATTAGGCCACTGAAATCCAACTAACTGACGAAATAAACGGTTAAACGAGTGATTTTGAAAGTATTTCAGTGCTTACAAAGTATTATCTATCATTTTTTAGATCTGTATGTAATTTTAAGGAATATCTACCACACAGTATTCGCGAATACTAAATAATTTAAGTGGTTCATCGTATACGACTGTTCTACACTGTTTAAATTAATGTGTCCAGCTTTTGAATAATGTGCTATTTAAATCAAAGTGATTGTTCATCTAGCGAATATAATTTAGCACTTGGATTTATTCATTTAAAAACCGAACGGTATTAAATGTTTGAAGTTCATTAGCAACATCGTCTCAACGTCAGGATAGAGTAAACAAAACAAACGTTCATTACTTTGAAATCACTGTGGAGATCTACTGCATTCAACACAATGAACAAACACAAATGTCAGGTCAGTCAGTGCTTCTATATGTGGTTGGCGCTTAGCGCACGTGTCACGAAAAATATTTCAAATAAGCTACCGTAGAATTTTATCAACAGCTGTCTTCACTCGACACTGAAGATCAAATAGCCGGCTGAAGGGAATAAGCAACAAGGAACTGTAACAACAGACCAACCAAGAACCTGTCGCCTATATACACTGAGGAGACTGTTGAGTGAAATCATATCCCTGGAAGATATCGAGTAAGACCCGAATGAGAAACGATGAGATTTGGCTTTGGAGGGTAACATGAAGGAGATCGTATCAGGCAGAAATGACAGAGTCAGATTAAGAAAAGGACCGTAAAGACCAAGGTGAAATAGAGATCTTCTGCTAAAGCTTTACTTGATTCAAGTCTTATTTGTGTTGAAAATAGGCAGCCAAGGATATCTGCCTGTCTGTCTGTCTGTTATCGACATAGAACTTTGCACAAATGTGCGGAAGTTCAAGTCGCCACATTCCGTGTAGCACGCGAAGCAAGAGAAGAAAGTACAAGAAAAGCATAATAGAAACAGTGAGCAGAGGTGTGAGACAAAGGAGTAATAAAGAAATACAAAACAATTTCATTGAAGATCATAAGTCACAGGGAGTGGATGCATCTGCGCCACCGAGAACGATTTTGAGCCATGTCACCAATTGTTTCCAACCATAGATTTTTGCCGTCCCGAGGACCCCAGCCTGGAAGTCTACACCTTCCTACGTGGCTAAGACCAACTGTTGTGGATTTCATTGACTGATGCCAAGTTTTTGTTTGACCGCCGCTAGCTTTTTTCCAGCCTGACCCTATATCCGCTAACATAGCTCGTCGAGGGAGGCGATGACTTGGCATACGTAACACATGTCCTAACCATCTCAGTCGATGTAGCTTCACGACTTCGTCGATTGATTTCCCCTGTTTACCTAGAACTCTACGCCTAACCTCCATGTTGCTCACCTTATTATGCCACTTTACACGGGAGATAGAACGCAGGCACCTATGATCAAAGGCAGCTAGTCTTTTCTGCACCGTTAAATTGAATGGTTATTACCTCAATTCTGTGGTAAAACGTTTTACCGCCAAGTCAGACAAGTGATATCGAAGAGTCATAAACTTGCAGTTGGTGTATAACAGTGTACATCTTGACTTCTAATATCGAATGAATCATATTTGGACATTGTTATAGTTGGTTAGTCACTTTTATCACTATGAATTTAAGAGTTGTAGTCCTCAGTATCAGGTTACTTATTTGTTTGAAACTAGTCTTGATTTAGGTGTTTTTCTTCTCTCCTTATTATGTTTATGTTTAATGCCAGTTGATATCTTACTGATCGGCCGTAACACTCACTTTTCACTCAGTAGTTCCTAAGTTCAAAATCCATCGTATTTGGGTCTGGAGGAGTTATCAACTCTCACAAGATAAGTGTAGCTTGTATCCTGGTATGCGAAGAAATCTGTTCCACATTACTGAGTTTAAATTGACTATCTAATTCATACACACTAAGTAGTGTTAGTGAAAAATATTCCCACACTAGAATAATGAGTGATAGTGATTGATTCGATTTCCTCAAAATTCAGATCCGTTTGATATGTGTGAATGGTTGTCGAACCATAGGTTTTCATAATAAACACCTATCTAATAGTGTGACGACTCGAACTGCTGCACATCGGTGCAAAGTTCTACGTTAAAACCAGTCAGTCAGTCCTAGCTAAAAGCTATAAGTAATAGAACTGCATCTCAGTTAATGCTTCTTTATGTATAATGTTCTGTACTTGAAGGCCAAATACAATTACAGGATGAAAGTGGTTATTTCGTTAAAAATATTAAAACTCAGTTTTGAATACAATTATTAGAAAATTGTCGCGTTGATGGTTCAGTGGCTGAATGCTCGCCAACTATCCACGTGGTCCGGGGTTCAATCCCCAACCGACGCACTCCAAGACTTCACTCAGCCAGTGGTAGTAAGATCGATAAAGTGGATAGGCTGGGCGTGAAGCTAGCAACCCCACCCCGTAACAATAAAATCCACTGCTGCTGAAACTTCAAAGCTCCTAGCCTGAAGCCCTATGTTCCACGTAAAAGGAATTTAAAAAAAGTATTTGAAAATTGACAATGGATAATCTAGTAATAAATTGGCACTAAGCTTCCCTTTTTTGTCATGTCTCATTTCTTTATTGTTTCATTAGGTATGAATTGGAAAATTTCATTAATAAAAGTGTTGAAACACACAATTGTCTTTGGTTGACCGATCAGATTATCTCTCGCATTCTGAAGTCCACTGAAGGTCCTTTTGGTGTGAATACATCTTTCAGTACTCCAAAAATATCTAGTGATGATTCAGTGTACCGTGATGCTGTCACCGTGACCAAGATACTACTTAGTGAATATAAGTGGCCCTGGTTATTGGCTCAACTGTACATGAAACTAACTCTCTTCAAAACTATGGAGCAAAAGGAAGCAGACTTAACTAGTGAATACGAAAGTCGTATCTCATTCTTCATTTCTCATTTAAATTTTTGTGCTAATGAAACACTGTATCAACTAGTGAATCAATCGAATAAGCTGAATGATACTACACAACAGTTTATGTTTATACGTAATTGGTTGATTCAGTTGGCTTTTCGTTCATTTAAACAATTTTTGAATCATGGAAATATTCTATTTTCGTTCCAAGTAAAGTTTAAAATCTTTTAATAATCATATATATATATATATATATATATATATATATATATATATAACTTAAGTACAGTGATAATTTTTAGTGTAATATAAGTTAGATAGAAGGAAGTTGATAAATTTGTCCATTTTCCGACTTTATCAGTTATCACTGATAATCAATGGAAAACCCGTTCGTTTGGTCATAAACAAAAAAGACAGATCATTTCATGAAGCGTATTTATATTTAAATACGAATTCATAAAGCCACTCAAATTGTATTAAGTTCTACAAAATGTATTGCGTGATGTGAGGTGTAGTATAAAAGGGAATGAATAACTGGCGATGAGCAGCTACCTTGTAAATCACATTGTCCAGCACACAGTTAGTCCATTCATGCGTTAAGGCCAAGATACTGCTTTTGACCACCCACCTCATTGTGTATTTATTAATTTTGCATGTTGCCGTGCAATAAAGTATATAATCTGTGTATAATGTCCAGCTTAGCTAGGTAGAGAAGAGAAGGAAAATACAAAGGGTTTTATCTTCGGGTACCTTGTCAACTCTGACCATAAGGCCCCACTGCACGATCGGTTTTGTAGATTTTTCGTTGAATATATAAACATGTTTCTATAGCTCTTCAAAGTGATTCGTTGAAAAGAAAAAAATTTCTCCTCAGCTACGTCCCCTTTGGTTTTTTTCACTGATTAGTTGGACTGTTATAATCCAAACAGTTTTGACTATCGGAAATCAAATGTATACCTCCCATCACATTCACAGGGAACACTGTATATGCGATCTTAATGGTGTTGTATTTCCACATCGTAATAATACAGTCTCACCGTTCATCTGCCTTGGTTAGCTTACAGAGTCTTTTCATGCGTCAACTGAAGCTTGCATTTCGAACTTTCACTAGCGGTGGAGTTGCCAGGCCTCACGCCCAACTTTCCCTCCTTGTCCGGCTTACTGCCAGCTTAGGAAGGCTTTGGAGAGTCTTTCGTTATCTTTATGTAAAGTGCGTATACTTATTTGTGTTTCCCAGTGAATTATCATATTTATACAGTGATTAGTTCTATCAACTTAAAGAATTTTTTGCTTAATTTCTTTCTAAGGATTTTATATTTAAACAGTACTTTAAATGCTTTTTTAAGAATTTTATTCGTTTGCATTCTAAGTGGAACATTTGACTTCAAACTTGAGGTTTGGAGTTTCAGTGGCAATAGCATTTACTTTTTACAGGGTGGGGTTTCTAGTCCCACACTCCAAACCTTTTCTCTTTCCAGACTTACCACTAACTAAGCGAGGTTTTAAAGGGCGTCGGCCGGGAATCGAACCCGAAACACATGAGGCGTGGCTGGTAACTATTCTACAACTGAACCAGTGGCGCAAAAACATTATCATCAGGGCGATGTTCATGCACACAGCATACAGCCTTCTTCAAACCTTGCGCACAACATACAGCTCGCACATTATCCTATCGCCCTTGACAGATCTGGCAACAAAAAGTCACGAGAACATCATCAGAGTATACGGCAAGCTAGTTATCCCACTTTAATATTCAGTTTAGTATTTAGATGCGATTATATGGAAAGCATTAAATGTGTCACTCTTAGTGAACTAGTGAGTTAGTAAAAAAAAAGCAATCCTCTTAATTACTAAAGTTGTATGCTAAACATATTGTCTTGGAGGATTTCATCATGAGCTGACATCAACTAGTGAACGGTTGGAAAACCTGAGAGTACTGGACAGCTATTTCGTCCTAGTTTGGGACTCCTCAGTCGTACGAACCTACCGGGGTCTACGAGCTCACTGGCCTTGTAACCAGAAGGTCCTGGGTTCGAACCCCGGTGGGTGTGTTCTGGTGAAGACTATCGAACTAGGATGAAACAGTTGTCCAGTACTAGCAGGTTTTCCAATGGTTCTCTAACTGATGTCAGCTCATGATGAAAGCCTCCAACCAATCAAACAGAATCCCTACAAAACCAATACTTCAAAAACATGTTGTCATCGATGTTTTTTCATTCTGTACTACTGAGCTAATTTAATCTAATCTAATCCATTCTCTTTCTATTTTATGTAGCGTTCTCTAATCGTTGATCTGGGTCTGTCGTTGGCTGTTTTGAAATCGACTTCTGAACAAGAAAAGAATATGACACAAATGAATTGGATTAGTTTAATGAAGTTTACAAAATTATATTTTCCTTCATCCTCCACCAATAATGACGAACACATTTCAGATGGATCAGAAGAATCAATTATTCTACAACTATTTTCTAATGATAAACTTTTACCTGCTTTACTCTCTGATCGATTAATACTAATAAGACGTTTAACTAAGCTTTATGTAGAACGTTTATATACATCTACTGTCTTTAATGAAATTGATAATTTATTTAATATTCCCATTAAATTACGTACTTGTTACAGTTATTTACTTGTAGATATTTCTAATGGTGTAAGAGATGAACTTATGCATTGGGAATGGTTCGGTTGTCTATGCTCAACTATTTGTTCATCAATATTTTCATGTGAATCAGATAATGACAATGATCCTAATAGTAATAGTAAGCTAAATGATCCTAATTTAATCATTTCACGTTCACTTCAAGTACAATCTGTACTGATGAAACTTACCGAGATATTGCCATATAATGGTAAGTATCATTTCAAAATAACATTTTTTTCCCTTTACGTTCCCCAGTGGGACATAGGGCTTCAAGCTAGTGGCTTGAAGTTTCTGTAGCATTGTTTGATTTTACAGGATGGGGTTGCTTGCCTCATGCCCAACCTTTCCTGTTTACCAGCTTTTTATTTCTGGCTTAGCGAGGTAAAGGAGTGCATTGGTAGCCGGGGATCGGACCTCGAACCATGTGCATGGGTCGGTGAGCGTCCTAACGGCTGTGCCACCGATGCACTCAAAATAATATAGTCATATAAAATTTCCATTTAAAAAAAATAAATTTTTGATGTGTGATAATTTTCTCCATTTATTTTGTTTGTTCTGTCTTGTTTTGTTTTCGTTCATAGTCCGTCAACCGTGTGTATACACTGTCCGGGATAAAAGTAAACATGAAATAGGCGAGAATTTGACAAAGTCTAATGACTTTGTATCAAAATGTGCTTATTGCAATTGTATTTGGAATCAACGATTAGCCCGTTTCGGTTGTATTATTGAATTATACAGGCAATCTATCCTGCCATTTTTATCAAAATCTCTGGAGTTATTACATTTCATGGAATTAAATACTTATAAGTCAATTATCAATATTATTCATACAGTTTTTAATGCATTTTCATCATTATTACTTTGGTCTATTGGAGAGCATCACTTTAATTCTCTGATTGAGAAAAATTGTGTTTGTCCCCTTCTAGGTGAGTATAATAATCTATTCTCAAAAAATAAACCATTCTTCTACACTAAAATGTCTATGTTTTAATTATTAAACTAATTAATCCCTGTTGTGTATTATAGATGTCCTAGTGTGTTTTACCACGCTACAAAGTGTAACAACAACATTTCGCATTACCTAATTGTATTTTTACAAAAGGACAAAAAGTGTAAACACACAGGCCATGATTCATTTTCTTCCTCTCAGTGTACTGCTTTGATAAATTATCTCGTTACAAAAAGCCGACATGTCAACCTGAGACTGAGCATTTCAGTCCAATCAATCTACGGGAAAATCTGAAAATTCAATTAAATCATTAATATGACCCGTTGCACAAGAGGTGGCTGTCGTGGCCCAAGTGGTCTAGTGGATAACACTTTGGCGTTTGAAACTATGGGCACTGGGTTCGAGCCTCGGTGGGAACATCATCACTCATTGGGAAATGCAGGTACATCCCGATAGCTGACGAGTCCCAAATAGGACGAAATGCGCGTTATCCTAGATTCCACTGCTAGTCACCATCCACAAATTAAATTCACTGGTGTTGCTCTGAATTTATTTGCATAAAATTCAACAATTGTTTACTAGTCCTTTTTTCTAGGCTATCAGAAAATTTTGTCCCAGTTCTAGGTGATAATTATCAAGGTTTTCAAAACTACTTTGAACTAACCACGTTATGTAATTGGGACATATTCTTGTATTGAAAGTGTTCAGATTGCTGAATCATTATTTCAATATAAAACAATTTGATATCCCTAAAATTATTAGGTTAGATAATTTTATCGTAGGTTCGTACCTTGGTGGATGCGTACTGTCGATGAGTCCTGGAATAAGACGAAACAACTGGTTTTTAATGATTTTTCAAATAGATATCAATCCTTGATTAAACTTGAAACCAATCAAATCGCTACAAACTAACCCTTAAAAATTAATCTGATGCTCGTTAGTAACTATAGCTACAGGATGAAGTTGACTGGAGTTCCAATGAGAGACACTGTGACCAGTGGAGTCCACCCAGTCTGAAGTGAAGACAAATACTGGCCGATTCAATTGACTGTTGTTGGTCGCGTTAAAATTCAAGAATTGGTAAAAGTTAGAATTCGTAGACAAATATCCCTGTGAACTAACTCTAGAAAATTCATCTTGTGTTTAACCAAAATGGGTTTAATATTTTCTCTCAAAGCCATAATCTCAAAGTTTGTACGCCAGGACTGAACCTGATTAGCGGTTGACTTTTCATTTTATTATTTGTCTTTGTTCGAATGTTTTTTTTGAATGAGATATTCATCTGCATATCAGTGTATAGTATAATATATAATACATAAAATCATCTTTGTTTGTTTGTTGCCAGCTTCTACAAATGAATTTCAAGCCCTTCGTCAAATTATTGAAGCTTTTTCCAATGTTTTCAATCAAATCGGTCGTACCTATCAAGTGAGATTTGTGTTGTGTATATACATGTTTATTGGACCTTGTTTTTCACTCAATACAACTGTCAAGTGTTGTTTTGCAGGTAGTTGATTGGTTACACGAGTTGATATCAGTTGGAGAACCATTGGGAAACCTGCGAGTACTGGACAGCTGGCTCATCCTAGTTTGTGACTGTCCAAGAGTACGCACCCACGGAGGGTCGAACTCAGGATCTCCTGATTACCAGGCGAGTCCGCCACTCGAGCCCGATCCAATGTTTCATGATTTCTAACTTTTCCGAATAGAGATATATATAGCGCAACCGCCAGCCAATGTCATAAGCGAATAACTGTTCTCTTACCTGACTTAGTGGACCTCTGTGGTTAGGGGTTCTCAGTAGAACTCCATTCGTAAGCGGCGGGGTCCACCAAATCACGTAAGAGAAAAATTATGGTTTCAATATATATATATATAGTCATTTAAAAGAAGTTGCAATTCATAGACCGTTGGTTTAGGTCTTAGTGGCTAAGTGGTCTACGAACTTACCTGGTAATCAGGAGGTCCTGAGTTTGACACGCAGTGGATGCATACTGTTAGAGAGCCTCAAACAAGAAGGAGATAGCTGTACAGTAATCCCAGGTTCTCCAGTAGTTCTTTAACTGATGTCAACTGGTGATCGGGTCTGTAATCACGTAATTGACTGTCGGTTAACAGTGAAAGGAATCTTAATTCATAATCATGGCAGAAGGAATACATATCAATATATTCATACTGTAGCAACAGAAGACAAAGGCCAGGAAACAGATCGTTTATTAAGGAAATCAACACATTTATATATTTCCATGTACATTATTATAAATTATTGTTAGCAGAAAAACACAGTCTTCTGATTGGTTGTTTCTCACTGAAAGTTCATCTTTCATCTCTTTATGGCTTTTTCTTGAATATCAGATCACCTATATGCTAACTGTATCCACCTACCCAAAGTCTTTGTTCACATGTTTCTCACGACCGATATTTAGAACATAAACATTGACGTAAGTTAATGTCTACCAATTTGGCTAGCACCAAGCTCTCACCACAAACAGTTAGTATTTTTTTTCAGCACCGCAGTGCTACAGTGCATCCGGACTCTTTTAAACAATGTTCGCACACAGTTTCTTTTGTAGGTAACTGGGTTGGTGTCTTCAAAAAGTATGAATACCCACACAATTTCATCAAGAAGTGTTTAAACTCAAGTCATAATACCAACAAAAAACCATCATCAAAGAGCATAAAAAAGTTCGCTCTATCATATATACAGTTTATCTCTGAAATAATAGCTAGAATACTAATATGCTTTGAAATAAACATAACACACGAGCCGACACAATCACCTCATTCGATATTGTGCAAACTAAAAGATTCAACAGAAAAAGAAGATAAGATTAACATCATTTACAAGATAAATTACTTGGAGTGTGATTAACAATTGATCGATCAAAGTGGGTATCCCCTTCATGTCTAAATCCAAGAACATAAATTAGCTTTGAAAAGACTCGATTAATATGCTCTCATATCAATACACGCAGATAATTACGTATACCAGTTTAATTGAGATTATGTAGAAATTTTTAACAGAGGACACAACGAAAAAGCCAGGGGATTTGTAGAAGCCTGTTACTCAGGAGAATTGACGATTCGGAAGCACATCACTATAGATTATATTTACTAACTAATAAAAAATCAATCACTTGACAATAAGCTTCAAATCTTAAGTCAAAAAAAAAATGATCAATAGAGATGTAAATGAGCAATCAGTCACGAAAGTGGTTTCCAGGAGATACAAGTATGTCCTTCATGGAGAATTCAAATAAGTTCAAATCATACTAAAACCTGTACTGATGATGTCAATAAGGGGTAAAACAAAAGCTCCACAATTAAATCAACCAACTCAAAGAACGCTATTAAATCAAAATCATCCTTCTGAGCTACAAATCTTCTCCATTAACTCAATGCTATCCCTTTGTTGAACTGGTCTCTGTTCTCTGTGTGGTTGCTTGTGGAAGGCGAATTAGTGACATTGGTTCTCTAAGGTATTATAATTATATTCGAGTTGTGCTACTTTATTATTCCCTTGGGTTCCGAATGGAACATAGGGCTTCAAAAGTATATATCTGTCTCTTCCTGTACTCTACAGTCCTCTTCAGTTGGCCTCATAATTACTCATAAGGTCCCATCTCATCCATGTGACCCCCTGACACACATCCAACTTGTCGTTTCTCATTCGAGTTCTACTTGAGTGATGACGTGGTGGGCGATGTCACTCAACAGTCTCCTCATCGTGTGATCACTCCATCTTCATTTTGTTCGAAATATTTGTTGACCAGTAAGCTCTTGTCAGTAATTCCTTCGGCCCACCCGATCTTCAGTATTCAAAGAAGGCAGCTGTTGATAAAATTCTGCATTAATTTGCTAGAAATGCTTTTCGTGATGCGCCAAGTTTCTCTCTCATACGAAACCACCGACTGACTTAACGTTAGTTTTAAAACTCCAAATTGCGTTCTTTATTCGGAGCACAGCATTTCAGTTGTATGATTCTCTACTTTACTTATCTGTGCTTATACTGCTCTGTGGACTTATTGTTTTCTATGGTATATAGAGATACCCCAACCCTGGAATTTTATAGAGATTCAATCTGAATAATGTCATTTTGAGTAGATAAACTGATTTTATTGATACAGTAGTTTTCACTAGTGTTGAATAGACGTTTGCTCCGGTCGCATGACTCTAGTAGGTAAGTACTGGTCGTTCTATTGATTGGCTACATACTACATCATCCTTACTAAACATAGAATGCCTAATTACCCAATCAATCGGTGCTCTATCTGACTTGTAAGTACTGATAAAAAAGCACACTCAAAAAAGACTCAATTGTTTAGTAGTGTTCTGATGGATAATGTATTTGAATAAAATAAAAAACCGACGTTGTTTAGGAAGAAAAACACCGTAGAATTTATCTGACTGGTATGTCTAATCGACAGATTCAGATTGTGTGTGTGTGCGTGTTAATAGCACAATGAATGAGCGCAAACTGCTCTCTGAGCCTGTTCACATGCGTACCCACTAAAACACATAAAGTATCCGCTGGCTGTTTATACGCTTTCTTGGTTAACATGAAGTGGATTAGGTTGGTTTAAGCTATTAATTGTAGCCCTAGATTTATTTTAATACTGTGGGAGGTTCAATGCATTTCGATTAGCGTTCATTACAATTGATTTCAGAATTATTATGTCTTTCGTTGAGGTGACATTGTGGTGAGAGCTGGGTGCTAGCCAAATTGGTAGACAGTAATTTACGTCAATGTTTATGTCCCAAATATTAGTCATGTGAAAATAGGAACACAGACTGACAGCTGACTTTGCGTAGGCAGATACAATTAGCAGATAGATGATCTGACATTCAAGAAACACCCACAAAGAGATGAAAGATTAACTTTCAGTGAGAAACAACCAATCAGAAGACTGTGTTTTTCAGCTAACAACGCAGCTTTCAATACATGAGACAACTGTTCTTCAGTTATGCCCTTGGGTCTCAAAATGTACTTTTTAATAATAATAATAATAATAATAATCATTTGCTTTTTCCCGGAAACAGTATTAGTGGTACAGTGTGGAATTTTCAGCACTTATCTACAATATTGTATCTAATTTTATCAAACATTTAAAAGGAGTATTTCAAAATATAAATATAAAAAACAACAACAAAAAAACACAAAATAGCGAAAAAATGCTAAGAAGTAGGATGGAAAATAAACAACATAATAAATAATATCTCAGTATTGGGTAATGGAAGCTGTGATATGTTTATGCGTGGTGAACAGTAAAGCTATAATCATAAAAGAAGTTATGAAATGATATTAAGAATGTTTATCGCCATGATCAGTTAATTTGATTGAACAACTCTAAACAATCACAAAATAAACATTCCAGGGTTTTTTCTTGTCAGCTCTAATGCAGTGTTTGTAGTGGTAGTGTGAGAAATCATGCATAATACAAAAATTTTAGGATGGTGATAACGGCGTTCACAACCAAGATTGTCAGTTAATATTGCCGACCAAAAAAGAATCACAAAACTAATGTTACATGAAGGTTAATGACAGGACAATTTTGTAATACTCATAGTGCTAATATAGTCGGGACCAGTAGATACAGAAAAAAGGGAATAGAATAAAGTATAAAAAATTAAGCCAATGTTAATAATTTTAGGTAGCTAAGTATGTTTAAGAAGGTGTTTACTATAGAATACAAATAAGATAGGAAATAAAAGGGCCTAAGATTATGTTATTAACAACAAAGCAAATCATAGGTTTCGCGCTTAGCATTGTCTCTGTCGCTTAGAACACAGACCTAATAGGGTATTGTTGAGTTCCTACATTTGGTTATATGAGCATATATTATTTTGTACTGATTTCTGATTCTACCTGATGAGATACAAAGAGAGAGTTGGAAATAGAGGGGGTGTTGGGGGTCGGAGAGTGTGGTTTTAGACCATTTTTCGCATGTATTCAGATGCCTTGCTACTGATGTAGTGATAAGCTGACTGAGTTTTACACCACTAGTCCTACTAACTACCTTCAACATCCTTCTCAGGATGGTATAGTCCTTTTTCAGTAGCCAAGGAAAGACTAATGGGGAGCAGTAAAGTAGAATAGATAAGATACGAGAGTTGACAAATTGTGAAAGTAGAGACTGGGTAATTCCAGATAGTCCAAGTTTCTTAATGTAGTAGGTTAGATGGAACACTTTCTTAGAAATCGTTTGGATATGAGATAACCATGTAAGGTCAGAAGATAGAACTAGTCCGAGATATTTTGCATTAGACTTAGTTTTAATTTTAGTCCCCTCAATACTACAGTCTTCATGAGTACTTACTAAAGTTTGTAAATCTCGTTTATGCCTAAATGAGAAGTCAATAGTCTGGCATTTTGAGGGATTCAGCATGAGACCATTTAGTTTTGACCACTGACTGATGTCCGACAGGAAGCTATTTCATTTGAAACAGTCTGACTGAGACTTAATGGGAAGCGAAACAGCCAGATCATCTGCATAGTTCTGAACATCTTACAATTTGCTTTCAACTAGATATCGTGGATTTGTTGTAGGAGGCAAATCAGATATAATGGAATGGTTTGTGCCTCAGGTCAGAAAGCTTTGTGTTACAGGATATATTTTCAGTTAATACTATACTTGAAGATATTGTATGAAGAGAAATATCATGCGATAAACTCCTTTGAAAATTCTATACATTTTATAAATACCATCCAGAATAAAGATGTCATTATTTCTTTCACTGTTTACACTCATTTCATTAACAATTAGTAATTATTATACATATTGCTTATTGATTTTCCCTGTTTTCTTCTCTCTTTTTTCACGCAACAGAAGTTAGAAATGCGTGATAAGGATCTACTGGAGTGTGTATTCTATACATCTGTTTATCATGAACAAACGACTAAGGATATTCTCCGCTCTAGAATACATTCAAGTCAGTTTTCCAAATGTTTGAAATGGCTTTCATCTTTATTGGAATGCTTTATTCCGTTTAATTCGTGTGATAGTAGCAATAGAATTAGTAAGTTTTCTGCAGTTATTATTGTTTCATTGTAGTAAGGATTATTATTTTATTCCTCTATGTTCCGTGCAGAATATACAACTTCAAATTATTACTGTACCCGTGGGGTTTATTTCTTACTAGGTGTGTGTTGCTAACATCACTCCCCGCCTTCTCTTACTGTCAGACTTACTACCGGTTAGGCGAAGTTTCGGTGTGCGTTGGCCGGGAACCAAACCCTGGATTTCCGATTAACACTTTAAGTTTGTGGAGTTTACTACCCGTATGCATTTTAATAAAAAAGGGCGACTTAGGACTCTGCAAGAACTGGCGGGGAATCATGCTCCTGTCGACGCCAAGTAAAATCCTGAGTCGCATCATCCTGGAGAGATTAAAGGACGCACTGGAGACAGAACTCCGACCAGAACAAGCTGGATTCAGGAAAGGCAAATCATGTACTGACCAAATTGCAACACTACGCATCATCATCGAACAAAGCATGGAATAACAATCAAACCTCTACCTCAACTTTATAGACTTTGAGAAGGTCTTCGACAGCGTTGATCGCGAAGTAATTTGGAAATTACTCGTGCGTCGGTGGCACAGTGGTTAGAACTCTCGCCAACCATTCACATGGTCCGGGGTTCGAGCCCTCGCCGACGCACACATGATATCTGTGGTCGGCCTGCGAAATTTGGGCTACCGATATCCACGCTGAAAATTCCATACTTGTGCCAAAAATACAGTGTGGAATCAAGCTGTAATCAAAAATAAAAAATACTACGGCGCACCCCAAATATTCATCAACCTTATTCAACAGCTGCACGACAACCGCACATGTCAAGTAATCCACAACAGAAAACTCAGTGAGGCGTTTCGAGTAAACACAGGAGTCAGACAAGGCTGCTGGCTCATTATCACCAATGATATTCCTAATTGTGGTGGACTGACTGGATTATGCGTCAGACAGTGGGAAACGAGAAGACAGGAATATCCTGGACCGACGCGAAGAACCTAGAAGACCTGAATTTCACGCGTGGATGGTTTATGCGTGATGTCACACAAAATCGATGACTTACCAGCGAAAACCGACAAACTGGTCGAAGAAGCAGCCGGCGAAGACAGGACAGACTCCAGGTGAACACAGACAAGACGGAGGTTGTGAAAATAACCAACCAACAACAACAACATCCAGCGCCAATCACCATCAACGGGAGGGATTTCAAAGAGGTTATATCATTCATTTATCTTATCTAGGGAGCATTGTCTCAACTACAGCCAGTCGGAACGGACGAGGATGTCAAATCGGCCGAGAATCGGGAAGGCGAGCGAGAAACACATTCATCAACCTGAAATCAATCTGGAAATCTTCCTCACTCAGCCACCATCAACAACAAAATTCGGTAGGATTTTCAATACAAACGTGGTCAAGTCAGTCATTTCTTCTATACGGATCAGAAACTTGGCGGGCGGTCGGATCACAAAGAATATTTCGAACAGCCTGTTGCAGACCTTTATCAACCAACAACTGGTTGGAAACAATTGGTGACATGGCTCAAAATCATTCTCAGTGGCGCAGATGCATCCACTCCTTGTGACTTATGATCTCCAATGAAACTGTTTTGTTTTTCTTTATTACTCCTTTGTCTCACACCTCTGTTTACTGTTTTTATTATGCTTTTCTTGTACTTTCTTCTCTTGCTTCGGGTGCTACATGGAATGTGGCGACTTGAACTTCCGCACATTTGTGCAAAGTTCTATGTCGAAAACAGACAGACGGACAGAGACAGACAGAACCAACAACTGTCTTCGTTGGATCTATACTGAAGACCAGATGGCCGGGCCGGAAAGAATCACCAACAAGAAACTATGGGCACTAACAAACAAAACAAGAACCAATTGCTAACCAACAGATATGCAGGAGAAAGTGGAGATGGGTTGGACACTCGTGGTTGAGGAGGCCGGCCGCTGGGTGACATCGCGCGTGCGTCAGGCCTTCGAGTGGAACCAGGCCGAAAGGGAGGCGGTGAGTGGGTCGTCAGTGCAAGGGTGACATGGAGGAGATCGTGTGAAGTGAAGAGGAGTTGAAACAGTATGGACTAACTAACATGGATTCAGGTGAAAAGTACAGCAGAAGGAAGACAGGAGTGGCAAGTGGAGACGTGCAGTTGAAGCCCTATATTCCACTAGGAACCCAAGGGAACACCAATAATAATAAGAATGCATTTTAATCTGAACCACTTGTAGGTTGTTTTTAATTCCATAATGAACTAGCTTACTTACTTCGTCCTATCAGATAGGTTGTTGATGTTGTTATTGAAAAGGAGTCATGCAACTGTTATTCTGAGTTCAGATATGAGAAAAAGTGCAAAAAGATCTTTAAAAGATACTTCAATGCATGAATGTGTTAGTAAAATAAAATAGATCTAAATGTTTGTGTGTGTGTGTGTGTGTGTGTGTGTGTGTGTCTACTGAGTTCAATTCCTATAAAATTCAACGAATCTGTATGTTCTTTGTTAATTAATTATATATGAAATTAAGTGTTAGCATTATATCAACAAATTTTTGTTTTTCCATATTTAGATAACAATGGAAAAGAAGAAGCAGGTGGAGGAGAAGGAGAAGGAAAAGAAGAAGAAAAAGGAAAAGAAAATGATGAAGAGGAACAGCTAAAAAAGAATGAATATAAAGTTCTTATCCATCGATTACTAGAAGATGGTATGGCTATCGCTTCAAATTGGTCATCAGAATTTGGTTTATACTTAACTGGTGCTCATAGTCTGTTAATCGGTATTCTGAATCTTTTCCAGTCAAGTGTTATACAAAATATGTGGTCAGATTCGTTTATTATTGTAAGTTTTGTTCTACTATGTTTTCTTACTTTGAATGTATACTGTCTGTCTGACTGGTTTCTCAACCTAGAACTTTCCACCAATGTACAGCAGTTCGAGTTGCCACATATGTGCCTCCATGTATCACACAAAGCAACAGAAGGGAGTAGAGAGAGATCCAAAACAGATGTAATAAATAGAAATATGAAGAAAAAGAATGATGATATGGAAGAACTAATACTTGAATACCACATAGTTTTATTGGATATTATAAATCACAAGGAGTGAATGCATCTGCCCTATTCATTGAGAACGATTTTGAGTCATATCTTCAATTGTCTCCAGCTTTCATCGGTGTTTACCATCCCGAGGACTGCAACCAGGAAGTCTATACCTCTGTGTGTCTGACTGGCTTAAACTAACTGTTGTGAATCTCGTTGACTGATGAGACCATGTTTTGGTTTGACCACCATTAGCTCACTCTTTTCCAACCTGATCCATCGTATTTCAGCTAACATTGCTCATTTTCGAGGGAGGCGATGGCTAGGCTAGATAGGCGTAACACGTGTCCTGACCATCTCAATCGGTGTAACTTCACAGCCTCATCTATTGATTTCCCCTCCTTACCTATCACTCGACCGAAGCCTAGCCTCAATATTGCTCACCTTGTTATACCATCTGACATGGTAGATAGAGCACAGACACCTATGATCCAAAGCAGGGAGCCAGCATTTTCATGTCTTCTACTCTCACTGACCATATCTTGCTCACAGCCATAAAGGAGGACGTAGCGGACTGATTAGCAGAATGTATACTGTAGGTGATAAGTTGTTCATGAAAAGTGTTATTTGGTTAACTAACATTGAATACACTTTTATGATACACAACTACTTCACTCAGTTTTTATTCATACTATTTTTCTTTGGACACGACTGGCTGGATGTTATTTCAAGAGTGTCTAGAATACAAGAAAAGATTGAGTAAACAATATTTCCTTCGACAACTTCTGCTTCTGGCGGACACATATGAGAAGACGGAATTCGATAGTTAATCCTTCATTCTCCGAAGTAAAATTGAAGTGTTTTTGAAAAGATTTAGTGATCTTCTGGTAAATTGAAGGGTGTTTCTACTGTGTATTATAAGCGTTGTTATTATTTCATTGATTTTATCACCAAGGTATTGTAGCCTTAGAAACAATGAATTCTTCTAAGATATAGAGATACTGTCAGCTTGTCTTCACGTAAAGGAGAATGATGCTCAGGAAGTCTTCGTGTGCTCTTGGAAGTGTGTGGGCGGTTGTTACTTCCCTCCTGCCCACACCGTGGAAGTTGGTTGATACTTCGGGTACCTGAAACAGAAAGAGGGTTAATGTTGCGTGACCGCAGAGCCCAGAGGACAACTGCTTGAGGCCTGTCACACGCGGCCTGTATGAACTGGTTTCTGGAATTGGTTCCGTATTAGTAAACTTACCGCCGGTTATGAACCACACTAGGATAAGTCAGGATGTACAATTTTTGGGGTCGACGTTTTCTAACCCCCCCCTCTCCGGGGTGGAGAGACAGCATAGCTGACATGCTGGTCATCTGAAAGGAAACACCTTACTGTTGTTACACCCCTGTTCCCCAGCAGTACGACTTCGCCCTCAGACCCCCAGCATAGTGTAAGAATGATACACAATGTCGGTAACTACTTTTAGTCTAATCGCTATTCTAACAACCTTCATGGCATGGTAGGACCTGCAGAAACATTGATTTCAGCCAGTGCAGCTTGTTGGGTCATCGCGATGTGCAAGCCCGACCACCACGTCAAGGTAGCATCTATCGGTCGAGCTTCATGTAAAACTCTAATTTTCATCAATAAGCTTTTCTGAATATCCGTTTGCACTCAGTAATTATCTAATAATCTTAAGTTGTTTATTAAGACAGTCATTATAGCAGATTATTCTGGCCCTGTGAACTAAATACTTTACTAAATTGAGTTATAATTTCAAAGATACGGATCTCAAAAAATCAGTACACTGTTGACCAGTTGTACTGTCTTCTCTCCTAGTCATAAGCATGTCTAGGAATGAAAATTTATTGCACGATACACATCATTCAATTTGTCAAGAATATTCCAAGCCTCATTCTCAATTTCCATAAACCAGAAATATGTTTCTTCATGAAATGACAATGGAATTCTAGTTCACTAATTACACCTCGCAAAGGTCTATTCTCTAAATTTACGAGGAAACTGTCAGCTAGAATTGGTCCTAGTAGTAGGTAACCTCATAATTCGACGCTTTTTTTCGCTTTCTAAATTTCTAAATGAAAATTTTTGTTATATTGATGACAGTATTTGGTGTTTTATGCCTATCGAAAATGACTAAGGCTGATCAAATTAAAGCATTCCACAAATTCGTGGATTAGACCGTAGCGATATTATACATAATCCTATTAAGTATGTTTATATCTATTTGTGGTACTATTAGTATCAATAAGTTATTCTTTCACGCAAATGTGTTAACCGCTACCCCTCTAAAAATTTACTTTTATTTTTATTATTCTCCCTGGTTCCAAGTGGAACAAAAGGCTTCAACAGCACATCTCTATTTCGTCTTGTTCTCAACAGTCCTCTTCAGATGGCCTCATAACTGATCATAAGTTTCCACCTCCTCCACTTCATCCACTTGAGTGGTGACGTGGTGGGCAGGTAATGTCACCTAACGTCCTCCTCATTGTGTGTCCAATCCATCGTCTTTTTCTTCGTAATATTTGTTGAGCAATACGTTCTGGCTGTAACGAATCTTAATTAGTCAAACTGGTTGGATTAATTCGTTACAGACAGCTGACTATTTTCAAATTTAACAATATGATTCTAGACAAAATAGATTAGTTAATTGATAGTGTGAGAGACTCTTTTGGACAGACTTGGCTGAAATGCATGATTTTAAGAGAAATAGAAATTTGGACTGTGGTATGATTCGAAACGGCTACTTCTGAATCCTCAATCCAAAGTTGTGTACATCCTTTGAGCAACGATGTTGAATTGTTGATTAGGTTATCACCGGGAATAAAAGTCTTCTACTGTCTGTCTGTTAGATTTTCACTTTGTATTTATGTTATCTCAGTGCATTTATCTTCTTACTACACGTATTATTATTTTACAGGACTTCACTGGTAAAAGAATCAATGATGATACCATTACTAAATGTCTAAATCTATGCGTCAAATGTTTATCATCCAGTTTAAAGTCAGTTTTAAATCCAGTTGATGGAAAATACTTAGATCAATCTCTAGCCTTATGCTTATCCCTTGCTTTGCCTATTGATGAAGCTGACTCCATTGTTCGTGATGTTGTTGCTCACAGTAAGCGTACGCCTAAAAAGGTTAAGGTGAGTTTAACGATTTCACTAACTGTTTTTCATCTAGTAGTGTGATATGTTTGCGACTTTTGATCAATGACGATAATTTTTTTTTCTATAATGGGTATTAAATTTAAAGTCTGGAAAACTCGTGGAAATGATAGCTGATCACTAAATATCTAGTTTCATCTAGGTTTTTTTAAAGATGAAGTACATGTTTATAATCAATAGCATTTGCATCCTACACTTATTGGTGTCCGACGTTCACAATGTTTCTTCATCTGAAAGTCGCATTTTACACCGTCAGGAGGAGGAAGATGCCGTGACAATGTCTGGCTGGAAAGGCAGCCTTATCGAGAATGTATGTAGCACTATTCGAAAGGCTCTACTTTAACTCATAAAGCTCTGTAAGAACTTATGGAGAGTTGTGCTCTGAAGGAAAGACAATTAGTGGTATCCATTTTTGTTGAATTCCATCATAGGCGTAGAGGTAACCCTAGTCAAATGTAGTAACTTTGGGATTGACTTGTAACCAGGGTACAGTCCGGTTAAAGACTCTGACAAAACGCGAAGGCTTCTGAACATGCTGAGCAGAAATCTTTGAGTGTTTGGTATGTGATTCACTTCTGTAAAATGTAAAATAATGCTACAGGACTGAACTCCCTTGAATCCAAGCTTTAAAATTTAGTTGCTGTCCAATTAACCTTGTTTCCATATTAGATCATTCTTTTATTACCTAATCAATTATCTAAACTTGACAAACCTCATGTACACACACACACAAATAATTATATATAAATGCGATCGTACAGCTATGTGAATGAATTCGCCGAAAAGGGTCTCTTCGCTGAACGTTTTCTCTTTTTCATATGACTAAATAGGGGTTTTCAAGCATATCATTAATTGTCTCTAGCTTTCATTATTTCTTACCATCCCGAAGTCCCCAACCAAGAAGTCTTCACCTCCCTACGCGACTTGCTTAAATGAACTGTGGTGGATTTCATTGACTGATGAGGCCATGTTCGTCATGTACTGCTGCTGAGTGAGTTATTAGAGTTTTCCCCGTCGCCAATTATGTTATGTACTCGTCGAGTAGTTAATAGTCCTGACGCAGAAGAGAGGGAAATCAGAAGACCACCAGGTTTACGATGATACTTGTATTTTCCACTCACAAGTTTGTGAGTGGAATGGTACGAGTGTCTAATACAAAAGTATATATGAAAATGGTGAATACACATGAACCAATAAATAGCCAGTCTTAACATGATTGGTTGTAGGTCATGTGACAACAAGGTCATACGTGTTTATTTAGTTAGTAGACAGACAAAAACATATTGTCAATTATAATGGAATATCGATCCATCTACACATAGCAAAATATAATAGACTGTCAAAAACAAACACACACATCATGTGAATACATATCAATGTTGTGTTTTGACCATCACTAAATCTTTTCCAACCTGATCCATCCAATGTCAGCTAACATTGCCCATTGTTGAGGAAGACGATGGCTAGTTCCTAGGTTGCTTAAGAACCAATAAATGGAGAATATTAGTGATGATATGACCCAAAAACCTTCTTAATAGTGCAGATGCATGCACTTCTTGTAATATTCCAGATCGATTAAACCCTCATGATTATTCTCTACCTTGTCTTCTAATCTCTTTTGCTTTGCTATAATAACAATAATTAATATGCAAATGATAGTATTTTTGAATTTAGCTTCTTTTAAAAAAATTTTTTGTTACATAATGCATAATGAGGTGATTCATAGTGAGTTTTTACTGTTTTTCTTTCCGTTCTCTTGTCTGAACAGGCGTTGGCTAATATTATATTTATGTTTTCTCAAATAACCCTGAGATTTGGATTAGAGCTACTGCCTCTAAGTCAAAATATGGCTAAAATGTGGACTTGGGATATTCTTCTGAAACCATATAAAGTACGTATGCATATATTACATGTGTTTAATTCAGTTCAATTGTATGAATAAAAACGTTTTCACTTGTCTAAAATTTAGGTGGCGGGAAAATATTGTAGGGGCCTTATTATTTTTGTGTAAATATATATGGCGAAGTTAAACTTTCGACACCACTAACTACTAATCAGCGAATTATCCAATGAGATTCACGAACGTAGATCAATGTTGCAGAGCGCTTGATTCATTTCTAATGCGTGACCTTACAAGGTTACGGTTGCAATTCGAGGAGGACAGTGTTTTCCAGTATTGCCTAGATTTAGGGTTGTTCCAGAAGGAGCGAACTTGTTCGTGTTTTGGTATCATGACTTTAAAAGGCTATAGCAGATCAACTGATGGGTTTGTTCATCGTTGTGCTACGTGTTTGAAGCGTGCTACCATTAGAGAGGGTAAGCTGATAATTTTAATATTTCGTAGGAACTTTTTTCACTAGGTCGCATCTCTCCCTTACCCAGATTTTGTATATCTGCAACTACTGGGCGTTGAAACAGCCGGTGAGAGCAACAGCTGCCGAGACTGAGAATAGTCTCGTCTCAACAGTTTATTGGTACCAGCATTCCAGAGATATTGCTTCGTGGAAAATGGAGAAAATCACTTGTTTGCTGGGTGGATCCCGTTGCGAGGACTCATACGAATTCCATTGAAGGTTTTTGGGGCCGCTTGAAAAACAGGATAAGGACTATAAATGGACCTCCAAAGGACTTCATTTATAGCCATTCAGATGAATATAAGTACAGGATGTGGTGTGACTTCTCCACGGACAGTCACATGCTAAACTGGGAGATGTTTCACTCACATGTTCGAGAAAGATACCCCTTGTAACCGTTTTATCCTTTCTTATGCTTTTTTCTATAAATATACGTTTCTATTCATCATATACACCTGTTTAATGTGATTGGTCTGTTCAAGGTCGTTTGCTGATTGGTTGATAGTTGTGTCATATATATGTAGTCTTGAAGTAAAATATTCACCGACAGTATATCGTATGCTTTTGATTGGATACTAGTTAGTAACTAGTGCAGTTTGTCTAGTGCTTTCTTTTGGTGCAGTCAAGTTTGCAATCGCATGCCGAATCAGCCTAGTGATATTGTCTATGAGTATACAGCACTGTGTGATGTGGGTTCGAATCTCTGAGCGGCGGAGGGACCTGAGTTCCTTCAAGATTGCAGACGACTACCAACTATCACGAAACCTACGTCCAAAGCTTCCTGCCAATTGACTCTAATCATCCAATAATCAACAAGTATATCGTGTTACACAACGTCATTCGATCTGAAACAAAAGATTCAGTCATTTATAACATTTTTTCCAACAGTTTTTTGATCTGAATGTGCACTGTATTAGGTTGGGCGTCAGTTGAAAAATTTCGTTAGTTCATGTTACTATGCAAAGACATAACTAAGAGGTTAAAACAAAACAACTGAGTAGAGTAGATTCATTATTTTCTCGATGGGAATTTAAGTAGTCTGTGGTGAGAGCAGGCTGCTAGCCAATTGGTAGACATTAATCTACGTCAATGTCTAGGTCACTAATATTGCCCGTGAGAAAATATGAACAAGGCTGATTCAACAACCAATCACAACAAACTTAACATGGGCAAATAAGATTCACAAATATATGGCTCCACAACCAATCAGAAGCCTGCGTTTGTCTGCTAAACTTCCGAGAAACAACCAATCAGAAGACTGCGTTTGTCTACATGCATAAGCTATAATAATGTGTAGGAAATATATATAAATACGTGTTGATTTCCGTAATAAAACGATCTGTTGCCGTCCCTTGTCTTCTGTTGTCACAAGTCTAGTGGTGTAAGCAATTAGTAAGCTAGTCAATGTAGATTCAATGCGGTGATCGTTTTGGTAAATAATATCAATGTAGTAATTGGTTATAAAAAATCATTGAAAAGAAGTATGATCGTTTATGCACTAATATTCACTTGTTTTAACAACAGTTACAGTGGCGTACCCTACGCGCAAAACTTATGCCATGCTTGACTTGTCTTTGACTAATCCCATTGACATTACGATATCACTCACTGATGTCAAAGTACCAGTAATTAAATGAAGCGTTTTGTATTAACAACCGATTTTCTTTTCTCTTTCGCTCTCTCTCTCTCCCATCTATTTCCTTCATTTTCAGTTGGATTTCAGTCGTATAATGATGAATGGAATGGAGAACACCTTACTGGAGGGAATACTTGATAAACTATGTCGTATGATTCCCTCATGGAAAGAGAAGTCTGCTTATCTATTACCTAGTGATACACACAGTAAATTAGCACTACCAAAACCGAATTCATGTATTGAACGATCTCTACCTTCACTTGAATTGATTATCAAATTTTCAAAAGATTTCAATATACCATTAAAAGAATATTTACTGCGACACTTAAAAGCTTTACTTCGAACATCTTATGAAACTAGTGTGAATTCTATTCCTCACTTTGAAACACTTATTCATGAGAATAGTGATCAATCTTTGTCTGTATCTACAGATTCAATGAATAATTCTAAACTACAACGTTTCATGTAAGTACATAATAATGCTTTAAAATGTATGCTTGTGGCGTGTACTACTGATAAAATGTATCAGTAGTCAATAAACATACACGTTTCTTCTGCATTATTGTTATTATTATTATTATTCCCTTGGGTTCCTAGTGGAATATAGGGCTTCAACTGCACGTCTCCACTTGCCACTCCTGTCTTCCTTCTGCTGTACTTTTCACCTGAATCCATGTTAGTTAGTCCATACTGTTTCAACTCCTCTTCACTTCACACGATCTCCTCCATGTCACCCTTGCACTGACGACCCACTCACCGCTTCCCTTTCGGCCTGGTTCCACTCGAAGGCCTGACGCACGCGCGATGTCACCCAGCGGCCGGCCTCCTCAACCACGAGTATCCAACCCATCTCCACTTTCTCCTGCATATCTGTTGGTTAGCAATTGGTTCTTGTTTTGTTTGTTAGTGCCCATAGTTTCTTGTTGGTGATTCTTTCCGGCCCGGCCATCTGGTCTTCAGTATAGATCCAACGAAGACAATTGTTGATGAAGGTCTGCAGTGACCTGTTGGAAATATTCTTTGTGATCCGACCGCCCGCCAAGTTTCTGGTCCGTATAGAAGAAATGACTGACTTGACCACGTTTGTATTGAAAATCCTACCGAATTTTGTTGTTGATGGTGGCTGAGTGAGGAAGATTTCCAGATTGATTTCAGGTTGATGAATGTGTTTCTCGCTCGCCTTCCCGATTCTCGGCCGATTTGACATCCTCGTCCGTTCCGACTGGCTGTAGTTGAGACAATGCTCCCTAGATAAGATAAATGAATGATATAACCTCTTTGAAATCCCTCCCGTTGATGGTGATCGGCGCTGGATGTTGTTGTTGTTGGTTGGTTATTTTCACAACCTCCGTCTTGTCTATGTTCACCTGGAGTCTGTCCTGTCTTCGCCGGCTGCTTCTTCGACCAGTTTGTCGGTTTTCGCTGGTAAGTCATCGATTTTGTGTGACATCACGCATAAACCATCCACGCGTGAAATTCAGGTCTTCTAGGTTCTTCGCGTCGGTCCAGGATATTCCTGTCTTCTCGTTTCCCACTGTCTGACGCATAATCCAGTCAGTCCACCACAATTAGGAATATCATTGGTGATAATGAGCCAGCAGCCTTGTCTGACTCCTGTGTTTACTCGAAACGCCTCACTGAGTTTTCCGTTGTGAAAAACTCACTTTCCTGCATAAAATATATCAAATATAAATGAGATAGATTCGATATCGAAGAAAGCAAAAGATTCAGTGTTGCAGAAAACATGGGAGACGTGAAAAGGAAGACAAAACAACACAATATGAAGGAAGACGAGAAAGTAGCATAACACGGAAGATCTGTGCAGATGATGGTTTGGGCATAAGGTGTACATATAATTTCGCTGTATATAAACTTCAAAGGCTCTTATCCTCTATCTTTACATACTTATTATTTCTGATCCATAATTGTTATCGATCCTTGAAGCATACTGTTTAATTTCCATCAGATGTTTTGGTATTTTGATTGAAAGACACTGGCAATAAAAAATTACCAATTAGAAACTGTTGTCAGTAAATCTTACTTATCGCTTAGTTTATGTTAGTCGAAATTAAATATTAATGTTAAATTGATTACTGAAAACCGTGTACTGATTAAACTGAACGTGTCCTCCTCTTTTTCATCTTCTCATCCTTAAACATAAACTGTCAACCAACTACCAGCTGGCATGATATATCCACCTGCTTATATTAATGACTCCTCCAAACAGTAGCTGTGCACACGAATTCAACTGGAAAGTTGTACAAACCTTATTTAGACAGAGAGAACATTAAAAAAGAAAGACTGGGGAAATTCGTAGAAACCTGGTACTTGGAGAAATCTTTCAACATCAGTTACATTGACACAGATACGATTTTTCAAGCAATAAAAAACGGATGCCACATGGATATAAGATGATGAAACAAATTGTATTACTGAGACAACACCATGGGTGGTGGCTAATAAACTCAAAAAGAGGAGTTTGTTCTAACGGCTAATTTGATATTGAAGTGTATCTTGAAGATGTTATTATAATTTAGTACATTTAGAAATCGGTCAGCTTCTTTGTATGTACTACTATATTTTGGTGAAAGGTTGCTGCACAAATAGAGTAGTGCTATTGCTAGATTATGTCGTTTTGTTGATTCAATATTCCAGTGTATGCAAGGTGATGCAGATCACCTTCATAGGAGAAATGAAAAACCCAGACCTGTGACATACATCCGGATGGATTGAATAACGTTTGAATCGGGCTTTTTTTCACCGGTAGCCGTGGAAACTTAGGTCCCGGTGCTGCTCCACTATCTTGGGGGATCAGACTTCAAGTCAAAGGCTGAGAGTGGCTCCCTAAGGTGTGGCCCCGTATTACTTTGTTCTGGGCATCCGAACAGTATCTCAGCGTTTGCAAAAAGAAAAACAAACTACGAGATTTTGTGTGACTCATTTCTTGGTGCCCACCCATAATGTACCAAGTTTGTGGTTTAATAATGACGATAATAATAATGATTATTCCGTTTTCATGCATCATTTCAACACTTCTCCACCGTTTTTCTTTTTTTTTGAAAGACGTTATCAGAAACTGTGTTTATCTCGTGCTCATACAATACTCAAGTTATTATTTAGATCTGCGAAACAATCCAATGATCCACAATCATCACTTAGGGATTTGGCTAAATTAATTCATTCATATTATGCCAGTACATCACCGTATGATTATGAACGTTTGAGTTTCATATACTCGTGGATTCGTGCTTGTGTCGGAAAGGGGATGATAACAAAAACAGTTAGTCTTACTATTACTATTACTACTATTATCATTATCATTATTATCTTCTTTGTATTCAATAGTAAACTATTTATAGACTTTCTATCAAGGCTTTCTATATCAGTGACATCTCACAATCTTAAAGCACTATACACGGTTGCAATACACCCTTCAAACATGATTAAGTTTTTCTTCACTATGATGGCTAGAATATGGGAGGGTTTCTTTCAGTTGTATGATGTATTCTACTGGCCGGGTTGTATTGGCTACTCACACTAATAGCTTCAGTCAGCTAACAAAAATCAGATGCTCACTAGCGACTGGTCCTATTCAGGTAGGTAGTTACCTGGGGTTCTAGTGAGAAGTCGTGACCAGTAGGGTGCAGCAGGTCGGATGTGAGGACACTTGCCGAATACATTGGCTAGGGTCGCGCTATGTCGTGAATTGGCAGAAGTTAGAATTCATGCACTGGCCATTGGATCGGGACGCAATGACATAATGGTTTACGAGCTCACCTTGTAACCAGAAAGTCCTGGGTTCGAATCCCGATGGGCGCGTACTGCTGAAGAGTTTAGGACGAAACAGTTTTCCAGTATTCCCTGGCAGGTTTTCCAATGGTTCTCTGTAACCAATAAAATCCCTACAACCCAGCACTTGAAATTCAAATGATTTTGAATACAAACACTTGAAAATCAATCCAGTGCGAAGTCATGACCACGGGGGTCTACCAAGTTGAGTGTGAGGACAAACACTCATCTTGGACATTATCTGGTGGTTATTCTGAGTATCGCAAATCAGCAAAGGTTAAAATTGGTGAGCCATTGGATTTCGCTGGCTATAAATAATGATCGACGAACTCGTCTTGTAACCTAAATCTCCTGAGTTCGACTCATAGTAGTAGGTTCATGTGTGTGCGTGTACTGATGAAGAGTTCCAAACCAAGACGAAACAACTTTCCCATACTCCCTGCGTTTTCTAGTAGGTTCTCCAAGTGGGTCATTTCGTGATCAAACTTGAAATCAATCAATCAATCCCCTGCAAAATAACACTTGAAACATTGTTTATTATTTGTTGTTGTATTGTGAGTCCGTTCTTACAACTTCGTCTGTCATCATCCACCAAATAACATTGTTTGCCTTTTTGTCAACTTATTCAAGCAAATCAAACTACTGTATCATCTACGTTACTATAGAAGAGTCTGTCCACCTCGTGATTCGGAATTCAAATCTATTTCTACTGGTGACTGTAAAGTAAGTTGGCGATAATTCTTTTTATTTAACCTTATCATCTTAATTAATTGCGTTATAAATTGGGGTTTAAAAATAAGTCCGTTGTCAAAATTGAAATAAATCAAATCCCCTTCAAACTAACTCCTGGAAATTAATCTAACGCTCACTAGTGACTGGCTGACTATAGGATGAAGTTGACTGGAGTTCTAATGAGAAGTCGTGAGCAGTGGTGTCCTTCGGGTCTGGCTGGAATGGGGAAAAATAACTGGCCTATGCAATTGGCTGTTGGTTTCGTTAAAACTAACGAATCGGTAGAAGTTAGAATTCATGAACTGTTCATTGATTTGAGTTCCAGTGACTGAATAGTCTACCCACTTGACCCTTAACCTAAAAACCCTGAGTCCGAATCTCGGTCAGTCAGTGCACACTGTCCATGAGTCCTAAACTAGGAGGTAACAGCGATTCAAAACTCCTTGATTTTTCATGAGTCCTCTAGCTAATATATCATTCTGTGGTCAAACTTCAAATAAAATCAATACGCTACAAACTAAATCTTGGAAATAATTGTTTTTGATAAAATCAAATCTGTGACATCAACATTTTTTGCCTATGTAAATATGCTCGATTGTTAACACTAAGTATGAAAAAATAACTGATCATGAATGACAACGAAAAACATGTGTGATTAATATTTTTTTGATTGCACACTAGTCAGTAACTAGTGTAATGTGTCTAGTCCTATCTTCGGTGCGGACTGAATTCTATCAGTCAAGCTTGCAATGTGGCCACCATGCTAGCTGGTGGCTCCCCATTACGGTGCACTGTGAGATATTGGTATTAGATGGTTGGAGGCAATCGGCCACAGGAAGCCTTGGGCCTAGGTTTTGTGCTAGTTGGCACTCATCAGCAAGGCGTATCTAATATCAGCAACTCACAGTGCACCGTAATGGCGAGCCACCAGCTAGCATGGTGGCCACATTGCAAGCTTGACTGATAGAATTCAGTCTGCACCGAAGGTAGGACTAGACACATTACACTAGTTGCTGACTGGTGTTCAATCAGAAATATCCAATACACACCTACTGTGGAGGTCAGTTATGAGCCCTAATAGCTCAGTGGTAACGTCTCTGATTGCAGCACTGTGTGACGCGGGTTCGAATCCCAAAAGGGACATGAATTCCTTCAGGGTTCCAGATATACGCCTTGCTGAGTGATGAATGCCAAGTAGCACAAAACCTAGATCGAAGGCTTCCTGTGTCCGATTGCCTCCAACCATTTAATACCGACACGTGTGATTAATGTTCACATCGAATTCTATTCAGACTGATCATATGAATGAATGATAATATCAGAAACAGTGAGAGAAAATGGAGGAGGTGTGTATTTTTATGTATGTGTGTGTGTGTGTGTCAGTGTATAAATGAATAACTAAGGCTAAGTTAAGAAAGTTGTTTTGTTTTGTTTTTAATACAAATTTAATGATGAATGAAGGATACAGTGTGTTTATACTACATACAGGTCAGAAGGCCATATTCAATGAAAAGTTGTGATGCAGTATATAGTACACTGTGAAAGTTCATAAGACTGGTTATCATCATTAAGCAAAGAATAATTGTTATTGACAAGCGTTTTTTTGGATAAAATTGGTAGATCACAGTTCAAAACATGTGTGAGCGATATTATGCATGAATAATATAACAATAAACCGCATATCATGCATCAAGTACAGAAAATAATACGTCCAACCGTTGTCCCTACCGTGACCATCATGAAAAGTCAGTCTCAACAATAATGATTAACCTTTTGCCTTTCTTATCCAACCTTCCTGTTTATTTCTGTTAAATTTACCTTTTAAATCCCTATCTGCATTATTAGATTTGGTTACTGTTTTTTTGTTATATGTTCGAACCTCTTACCCATTTCGTTAATACTACATCCTTAACTCGTAATTAGACAAACTAACTAGTTTTCTAGTAATTGTCTTTTTTACCCGATCTTCCTGATTATTACACATTGTAATTTTTAATTTGACCTTTGACCTGAAATATTTCTAGAATAGTATCACTACTAACCTATCTTCTGTTTATTACACTTGATAATTTTATTATTCTTACCTCTAACGGGAAATAATTTTGGAACTTTCTTGTACATGTAGTATAAATACACGAATGTACAGTCTAGTTGATGACTTCGGCGAAAAGAGAATTTTCTTCGCTACAACCGTCTTTTTAATAATACCGTATGTATAAATTTCTAAATTCAACGATATGTCAGAGTGGCAATAATTGTTCAATTGGTTTCTTTTGTAAATAAAATTCCGGCTGTTTTAAGCGAACTACTTAGGCTTCTACTTTTTGGAATATTCGGTGCATGACGGACGACAGAAAAGCTTTCTTCTCTGCTGATATAACGATTTCTGTTGGATTAGAATGTGCTAATATCGAACTGCATTAATGATTTTTATTACACTTTTATTTGACATTCACATAATGGTACACCCATTGACTGAGTATTGGTTTTTGGTAGAACAGAACACACCTATCCCTTGCCTACTGCGAAACAAGACCAGCATGTAGTTTCATCTTGTGTCGCGACCAGTCGAGAGCCCTCTCCCTCGTTGGACCATACACTTGTAGGTGTTGTTGGTGACAGAAAGCTCGTCAGCTATACGCGTGGCCCGAGGTTATGTTACCTAAGCCTCACTTTTTACTATTTTTTTTATTCCTCTGAGTTCTGAGTGGAATATAGGCTTCCGCCTACAGCTTTGAAATTTCGGTAGCACTAGTTTTTTACGGGGTGAGGTTGTCAACCTCATGTCTGACTTCCCCTATTCGTCTGACTTACAACCAACTAAGGGAAGTAAAGATGTGCTCCATCCAGGAATGAAGCCACGTGCATGGCTGGCAAGCATTCTACCGCTGAATCAGCGACGCAAAAAAACGAACCCCCGACCTTCAGGTCAAAATTCTGATGCTCTACCAACTGAGATAACTGGGCAAACTTCCGTTAGCCCGCTATGCGGATCAGAGACTTGGCAAGTCATAAAGAGCATCTCAAACAAAGTTCAGACCTTCATTAACAGTTGTCTTCGCTCAATACTCAAGATCAGATGTCCAGAAAAGATCAGAAACAGGGATCTCTGGCAATGAGCGAACCAACCAGGAACCGATTGTGAAACAAATAGGCAGGAAGAAATGGAGGTGGATTGGCCATACGCTGAGGAAACCATCAAGCGACATCACTAGACAAGCCATCGCTCGAGTGGAACCCGAAAGGGAGGCGGCGAGTTGGTCGTCAGTGCAAGGGTGACTTGGAGGAGGTCATGTGAAGAGGAGATGAAAGCATGTGGGCAGACTTGGAGCGTGGTGAAAAAGTTGGCAGAAAACAGAAGGCAATGGAGATGCGCAGCTGAAGCTCTATGTTCCTCTAGGAATTAAAGGATACAATAATAATAATAATCCCGGTAGAAAGGGAGGGTTGGGCGTAAGACTAGCCACCCGACCCCTTAAAAAAAACACCATTGTTACTTAGTCTTCAAAGCCTTGTTTTCCACTTGGAACCTTATATATATATATATATATATATATATATATATATCTCTTTTTTTACTGTACCTTCAATTATTTGATGTTTGTTTCAGGGCTTTATATTCTCCAAAGGTGGAAGTCATCACCCTATGTGTCGAATTCGAATGCCGTATCATCAGTTACTAACTGATTCTTTCCCTTGTGAAATTATAGGTAAGTTCTACATTAAGTAGATAAATGCACTAATGGTAAAAGTTTCTTTTTGAAGAGAAAAAACTGAATAATCATTTATGTCATATCTTTCTTGTTGTCGATTTGCAAATAATAAAACAATTCCAACAGTGGTGTGAACATGGGCAGTAATTTTGCTCGAAATATTACCAATAATAAAACTTATCATCGTATGTAAACTATTAAAATATAATTATACTTTATTTAATTAAATTTAATTTAATGTAATTCAAAGTTTATCCAAACAGAGATAGTCAAAAATTGACTGGTTTGAACTGATTCGCCTCTCTAAGCTGAGTACTGCACCACTAATGAGCTCAGCCTCAAACGAGTGGAACGACCGTCTAGTGTTTAGCTTACTTCGATAATCTGGTTAACCACCAGTACTGGTTGATTTGATGAGTGGTATACAAGTTACTCATTTCAATCAATCAGTAGTATGTACTTGCTTGCATTTTTTTGTAAGTAGTATGTTACTGATTAAGTTTCAGTATGTCAGAACTTTGCACACACGTAAAGCAGTTTAAGTTTTTACACTCCATGTAACACGTAAAGGTAGGGGAAAAGATAAAATTCAAAAGCACTCTATATAATGAACAGAGGATATACCAAGTGAAAGATTAATTACATCGAGAATTATGGCTATCCAAGAAGTTTGAAAAAACAGCGAATTCCTATGAGCCATTGAATGCAGTACTTCTTTTTGAGTTGAATTTATCAATTATCATTGTTTATCTCTTTTCAACTGGTTTACAGCATCTTACTTTTTGTAATTTATCTAAAATTAGGACCAGAGGTTACATTATCTACTGTGAACTTTTGGTTAAGTGTGAACAGAATTATGCAGGTATGTGTTTCATGCTTATCTCTCTATGGAGTTTTGAATATTTTATTGTATGTCTTGAGTTTGCTTTCTCTAAGGTGAGTGATTTAAGTGACGTTGCGTTGATTGTTGTTCTCAACAACATTTCCATCACCGACTTCAAGGTGTAGGGGGAGCGCCACAGATTCTGCATAAATGATAAATAATGACCAGTATTCCTGATGATTTTAACTGTAATTCACTGTCTGTACAGAGATTTCCTTATTCAATGTGCTCAATTCTGTTAGTACTGATTGTTTTGTTGACCTCATATATGATCATATGACATAATGAATAATAAATTTTTTTCGAGTGCAATTAAACCATCCAGTTAAGACATAACACCATTAAAACCATCTAATTGAGCTAATAATCTTCTCCACTAGGCTTCTTTTGCCTTAGTTTAAAGTCTTACTGCTTTATTCGTTTGTTCTGCACTGCTATAAAGTTCCGATAGCTGTGCATATTTTAATAAGTCACACATTGACTTAAATCACCAGTCATGTTTTCATCATTTCTAAATGATTATGACTGCTAATTGAAATACTGATTAGTGAGCGAAGAAGATATTTTTCGATAATTTCCTTTTCAGATCCTGTGGTTGTGCGGTAAAGGTTATAAGAGCAAAGCTTTGTTTCCGGGGTAGAATACTCACATGATGCGGGATTCGACCAAAGGCCGACGCACTCTTAAATCTCACTTAGACGGAAAAAATCCCGTAAAGAGGAACGGTTGTTCTTGAAACTAGCAAAGTCATACCGTAAAAAAGGTAACACCACGGTTCAAGCTTGAAGCCCTATGTTCCACACGAAACGTTAAGGAATTGAAAAATAATTGAATTTGTTGAAACCTGGATTCGTATGCTCCTCAACAATAAAAAATTAAATTAATTACGTGTATTAGTTTTTGCTTCTATGTTCGATTCAACTATATATGGAACATACGGTATGCGATGACTACGTATTACTCAGCAATCTGCCAAGATAAGATACTACCACAGACTACGATAGCAAATATTTGCCATCAACAAAACAAATACTCAGAAGAAGGAGAATTAAAGATAGACACTAGAGGGATTTGTACACTCTCAACAAATATAACTGAGAATGAGTGTAAATCTACGCATGAAATACGATTTGGTTCAGAAAGAAGTCTGTCTGTCTGTTTTCGACATAGAACTTTGCACATATGTGCGCCAGTTCAATTCGCCACACTCCATGTAGCACACAAAGCAAGAGAAGAAAGTAGAAGAAATACATATTAGAGACAGTAAACAGAGGTATGAGACAAAGGAATAGTAATAACAAGAACAACATAGTTTCATTGGAAATCATAAGTCACAGGGAGTAGATGCATCTGCGCTAGCCATTGAGAACGATTTTGAGCCATATCACCAACAGTCGCCAGCCATTGGTTTTCACCGTCCCGAGGACCCCAACCAGGAAGTCTACACCTTCCTACATGACTAGCTTAAACTAACTGTTGTGGATTTCATTGACTGGTGGCATGTTTTGGTTTGACTGCCGCTAGCTAGCTCTTTTTCAGCCTGACCCTATGTCAGCTAACATTACCCATTGTCGAGGAAGGCGATGACTAGGCATACGTGACACATGTCCTAACTATCTCAGTCGATGTAATTTCATAGCCTCGTCGATTGATTTCCCCTCCTTACCTAGAAAGAGGTGCATCAAAGAATTCTAAACACTGTTTAACACTAGTAAGTTTGAAGTAAACTGATTAAGAGAAGTAAAAGCAATTCAGAGAGAGGATCCTAGGACGAAACATTTCGTGTAGTCGCTGGCTGTGCTCCTACCTCTATCAGAAATAGATCTTTCACTATGTGTGATAGTAAAAAGAAAGCAGTCACCTCCTACATCACGTTTATGAGAAAGTTTATTGGGAGATGCTGTTTGCTTGACACACTATTCAAGTTCCTGTTGTTGGTCATATCTGTCACAATAATTGGTTATCGTATTTTTACGAGCGTCGGTGCTTAATTCTAATTACTGCCAGTTGATTTTAACTTGTATGCATATGTATACAGTTTTTCTCTATGTTTTTTTAAAAGTATTTATTGTTGGTTGTTCTCTTCAAACAATTTTAGTGGTCTTCATCAGATGTGATTAAAATTGCTGCAGCTCAAAACTTGGTAAATCATTATTCTACTGTTGGTCTTCTACCTATAACTAATTCATATAACATTAGTGAAGAGTCAACAGTTTCAAGATCGGTTGGTTGGGATAGAGCTTTACCGTGTCAAAATCTTATTGAACCTCTGTTTGGCCAACTGTTTAATCTCTTGGAATCTGTTACGTCTACATCAACTGTCTATTCATTATTATCCGGTATGTTATTCATCTAGCAGTAGTCATGAAACTTACAAGCTGAATGTATGCTCTAAATTATGAGATAAGGATATGGAACTGATTTTCTCTGTAGTTTTTCTATACTCTAAGGATCAAGCTGTATGATATCGAACTAAACAACCAATGTCAAACCTACATTACGATTTTCATGCATTTTTTTCTACATGTTTTGTTATTATTTCTTTGGGTTCCGAGTGGAACAAAAGGCTTCAGCTGAACATTTCCATTTTTTCCTGTTCTCTGCCGTACTCTTTAGCTGTCTTCACGATTACCTATAAACTTTCATCTCCTCCTCACACGGTCTCCTACATTTTACCCTCCGACGCTCAACTCATTGTTTCCTATCTGGGTTCCACTCGAAGGTTTGCCAGGTGTGTGTGATGTTACTCAGCGGTCTCCTCAGCTTATATCCAGTTCCACTCCATTTCTATCTGCCTGTTTGTTAGGCCATAGGTTCTTCGTTGATTCTTTACCAGATCCTTTCTAGCCATGTGATTTTCAGTATCGAACAACGGGATGTGTTGATGAAAGTGTGTAGTAACTTGTTGGAAAAGGCTCGTCGTCATAACACGGGCGCCAAGTCTATGGACCATACAGAAGCGCTTACTCGACATAAGTGTTAAAAAATCAGATCTTTTTCCTTGTACTGAGTGTAGTAGATACCCATACTGGTTTCAGAGTATTGAATGCCTGACTTTCAAACAATGCTGCTCAGTTTAGGTAAGTGAAAGAGACAACTTCCGATATCCCTATTGATGGTGATGGATACTTGTTGTTGGTTAACTGTCTTTACCACCTCTGTCTTCTCACTGTTCACATAAACTCCTCCTCTGCCAGCTTGTTGGCTTTCATCTGTATATCTTTGAGTTTGTGCAACATTAGACATAAATCATCCTAAAAATGTAGATATCAGATTGTTTCAAAGTGAATAACTTTTTGTCAGAATTTAGTCAGTGGTCCTGGTCAATTTGACGAGCTTAAGCGTAATCTCTCTAAATGTCAGGTTGTTAATTTCATTTTCAGACGCACGCGCGACTTAAGTGAACTGGTTAGTTCACATGGTTCCAATATCATAGATGGCATTGAAGTTGGAACCAAATCGAATGTTAAATACCTTGGACTGTGTATTTCATCTGATCATTTCTGGCCTTCTCCACATCATGTTAATTTTCCAGAAAGATATTTTGTTTGACGTTCTGTGTAAGGGGGGGGGTGGGGTTAAGACAATATGGTATCATTCCGTTTCTACTGTTACAGTGTGTTACTTCCTGTTCTTCACCCATACCTCTGTTCTGCTCCCCCTTAATCTTTTCTGGACTACTTAAGAAAGACTTCTTATACTGCTAAGGGCACTAAAAACCATCAGTAGGGCGAGTAGGGTATTGTTAAACCAACTCTATGATATTATAGATAGACATATGGACTCCTGCAAGAAATTAGCAAATATTATCTTGTCAGACTCTGAGTTTCCTCCATATACACAACTCTCATCGGGTAGAACTAGGAGCAACTACAGAAGACTGTATACTCGCACGACTAGGTACGAAGCTCTACCATACCTTATTTAGCATACATTTTATGTGGTGAGAAAAGTGTAAGGCAGGAACTTACTGACTTATTGCGGAACTCTGAGTAAACGGTCTCACTTTTTTCATTGTGACATTGGTGTTAATATTTTTACTTGATTTTATATTGATTTTCTTATTGAACAATATTACCTATGTAAATGCTCTGTTTTAAGTATTATTCCTGTATTGAGAAAGTTAGATGTAATACTGTACTACTTACTACATGTTGAAAATTCCATATTTTTACCTATAGTACTGTTTGGAATAAAGCTATTATTATTTTTATTTTTGCTTCCCTCGGTTTATCACATGATCCAGTCCACCAAAATCAAGAATATCATCGGTGATGGTAGGCTGCATTGTTACACTTTTGCCTTCACTGAGCTTTCCGTTGTGCCCTACTGAGCGTATAGCATCATTATATAGCGTTTGAATGAGGTTCATAGCTGTTATTCCTTCATCATGTACACAAAAATCCTTGAGGGAATAACTTATATTTTCTCTGTCAACCTGTTGGTGTTCATAGGTTTTAGATTTTCTACGAATAGAGACGGTCTGTTTCAAAGTTGGGCCACCTGAACCTCCCTATCCACATTATTATCATTATCTATCCACCTTTTAAAATTTGGCAACTACTTCGCTGCTACGGGTGCCTCCAACAATTATATATCTCATCCAACAGTTGTACGACAATGCTGCATGCCAAGTAATCCACAACGGAAACTCACGGAATCATTCGAAATGAAGACGGGAGTAAGACGAGCTGACTGCCTACAATCTCCAATGATTTTCCTGATTGAGGTAGACTAAATGATGCGACAGACAGCCGGCAACGAGGGAACAGGCATAAAATGGGCCCACACAAAAACTTCGAGGATCTGGACTTTGCCGATAATGTGTGTCTGATTTCCCACAAACTAGAAGATGTGCAAGCGACAAGTTGGCAGAAAAAGCATCCAGAGAAGATATAACTTCAGGTGAACATAGAGAAAACAAAGGTGACGAAGATTCCTGTCCAACAACAACAGACAACAATCAGCATAAATGGGAGGAACCTGAAAGAAACAACCTCCTTACCTACCAGGGGAGCACCGTTTCAACTACAGCCGGACAGAACTGATGAGGATATCAAAGCAAGGATCGGGAAAGCAAGATAAGCTTTCATTGCTCTCAAGTCTGTGTAGAGGTCAACAGCACTCATCATCAAAAATAACATCCGGATTTTCAACTCGAATGTGAAGTCAGTCAGTGCTACTCTCTATACGGATCAGAGACTTGGCGCGTCACGAAGGGCACCTCAAAAAAACTACAGACCTCTATCAACAGCTCTCTTTGCTCAATACTACTCGAGATCAGATGGCCGGCCAGAAAAGATCAGCAACAGTGAGGGGTCTCTGGGAGCGAACCAACCCAGCAGGAACCGATTGTATAACGAATAAGCAGGAAGAAATGGAGGTAGATCGGCCATACTCTGAGAAAACAAACCACTAAGTGACATCACAAGACAGGCCGTCGAGTGAAACCCGGACGACAAGCGGCGAGTTGGTCATCAGTGCGAGGGTGACTTGGAGAAGGTCATGTGAAGAGGAGATGAAAACCGACGTGGAACCAGGTGAAAACGTTGGCAGAGAACCGAACGCGATGGAGAAGTGCGGCTGAAGCCCCATGTTTCTCTAGAAACTAAAAGAAACAATAAATAATAATAAGATTTCGGTAATTGGTATGTCGTCTCCTCAAATACTCGGTGTGCATGAAGTTGTCTACTTTTTCTTCCTATAGATTTCAAATTTACGTTTTTAAATGAAAAGATGGTTCTTTTTAGTCTTACAACAATTACTTATATCACTTGACAGTGCATATTAATGAAAAATATTACTCTATGTTCACTTTTATACTAGCCACAATATGTAGCTGTTTTATACTAATACTTGACAACTCTCATCTCTTATATGTACAGATCTTGCTCGTCAAGTTATTTATGGTCCTCATAGGTTAATGGTATTGAAATTAGCTCATGATTTGGCCGAAGTTTACTTAACTGCTGCTGAGAATAGAGCCCGTCAATTTTATTCTCAAAATGTATCATTATCTAAAGAAAGTGCTGAGGATAAATCTCTTGATTCTGATGATTGTGAGAATGAAGTGTACAAAAGTGTTCAATTTGAACAAAATGCTTTGGAAGAAACGAAAACAAGTTACAAACAATTAGCTATTGAAGGTTGCCTTTATAAATATCATCTAGCTTATTGGGAAGAAGTAAACAAACCTATTAATAGGTAAATTATCTTTCTATATATACATATAAAACGTAATTTGAATTCTCCCATTTATTTAATTAAATTCTTTCACTGCATCCATTGATCATGTGTCCATTTTTATAGAATAACAATTCACTTTAATAACTACCGCTCCACGAAAAATGCCTAAGGAAGCCAACACTAATTTACTGACTTTTCAACTTACTATTGAGTAAAATCTTTTATGAGTAGTTCAAGATGCTACATTTATTTAACAGCTGTGCGACAACGGCATATGTCAAGTGATCCACAACGGAAAACTCAGCGAGGCGTTTCGAGTAAACACAGGAGTCAGACAGGGCTGCTGGCTTATTATCACCAGTGATATTCCTAATTGTGGTGGACTGACTGGATTATGCGTCAGACAGTGGGAAACGAGAATACAGGAATATCCTGGACCGACGCGAAGAACCTAGAAGACCTGGATTTCGCACGTGGATGATTTGTGCGTGATGTCACACAAAATCGAAGACTTACCAGTGAAAACCGACAAACTGGTCGAAGAAGCAGCCGGCGAAGACAAGACAGACTCCAGCTGAACGGAGGTGATGAAAATAACCAACCAACAACAACAACATCCAGCGCCAATCACCATCAACGGGAGGGATTTCAAAGAGGTTACATCATTCATTTATCTTATCTAGGGAGCATTGTCTCAACTACAGCCAGTCGGAACGGACGAGGATGTCAAATCGGCCGAGAATCGGGAAGGCGAGCGAGAAACACATTCATCAACCTGAAACCAATCTGGAAATCTTCCTCACTCAGCCACCATCAACAACAAAATTCGGTAGGATTTTTAATACAAACGTGGTCAAGTCAGTCATTTCTTCTATACGGACCAGAAACTTGGCGGGCGGTCGGATCACAAAGAATATTTCCAACAGGTCACTGCAGACCTTCATCAACAACTGTCTTCGTTGGATCTATACTGAAGACCAGATGGCCGGGCCGGAAAGAATCACCGACAAGAAACTATGGGAAGGAACAAACAAAACAAGAACCAATCGCCAACCAACAGATATACAGGAGGAAGTAGAGATGGATTGGACACTCGTGGTTGAGGAGGCCAGCCGCTGGGTGACATCGCGCGTGCGTCAGGCCTTCGAGTGGAACCAGGCCGAAAGGGAAGCGGTGAGTGGGTCGTCAGTGCAAGGGTGACATGGAGGAGATCGTGTGAAGTGAAGAGGAGTTGAAACAGTATGGACTAACTAACATGGATTCAGGTGAAAAGTACAGCAGAAGGAAGACAGAAGTGGCAAGTGGAGACGTGCAGTTGAAGCCCTGTGTTTTACTAGGAACCCGAAGGGAACAATAATAATAATAATATGATGTTACATAATAATGAACACAATAATATAATGAAACTAGAACAGATGTATATTTACAAGGAAGGAGAATATGATTAAATGAAACTTGATGATAAGGTTAAGAATCTGTAGAATGATAAAGACTGGGAATATATTTGGACCGTTATGTAAAATTTTTAGGCGATCTGATAAGAGTCTGTAACTATGAATTTCACTGAGACTCCTTCATAATCAAATACTGTCACAGCACTTCTGAACCTACAGAGTTATACGCCACTTTCGGTTAGCGAAATACAGCGAGTGTTGGGTGCCAGCAGGTAGACACATGTCATAGTATCTGTCGAAGAGACCGGACTGGAGACCTTGGGTTACTCAGGTTTCTGGCTTTCATGTTTAATCATCTTAGGAGTGAACTGTAAGATCCAGGATATTATATTATATTATTCATACTGTCACCCCTGGAAGATTTGTTCTTTTTTCATGTATTGGTACAGCAGATTAGGCAGTAACTCATCGAAGAAGACATTGTGAATTAGTCGCAGTATGTAATGAATTGGCAGAGGTTAGAATGCATGGGCTTTTGGACCGGGTCCCAGTGGCTGAATGGTCCACGAGCTCGCCTTGTAACCAGGTCTTGGGCTCCAACTCTGGTGGTAGGTACATGCAATGAAGAGTCACAAACTAGAACGAAACGGCTGTCCAGTACTCCCAGGTTTTCCAATTTTTCTCAAACTGATGTTAGCTCATGATGAAATCCTGCAACCAATTTGTCCTCTTTCTTGTAGAACTGGGTTGATTAATGACCTATAACAAACTGATGGAACCGTCTTGGATTTCCCCATAGAATTGATATTGCCGGAGTTAGTCTATCCGTTAAATCATCTCTAGTGTCAAACCATCAAGTTCTGCTGCTATCTCGTTTTAGATCAGAAGCAGTTTTCGCAACGTCAGCTCCATTTTGATAACTGATGTCCGCATCCTACCCAGCTTCAGATGAGATATTGACCATCTGTATAGCAACCATAGGTCATGTGAATTATTTCTCAACATATTCTGCCAAATAATTTCAGCGTCCTTGCCTGCGGTTTCATCCTTTCTGAAGATCGCCTTATTTGTAGGTCTTTAACGGTCCATTTTCTTTGAGAAACGTGAATATTTAACGACCATTATTTGTTGTGGATGCATTTTCACCTTTGGCCTCCACCACTGTTTTCGGCCTTCACGACAACTTTTGAGCAGTTCTCACTTCTTATCATGTTCGCAGTTTAATAGCACTAGTCTTCTTGCATCAACCAGTTTGAAATGAACACAATTCAGCATAGCAGTAACAAATCATGAGGAGGTCTGGTACCGTAACCAGCCTCCTGTAGAAACAATACTGAAGAGAGTTGGTCACGAGCAACAATGGATTTCTATCTTGTTTTTTTTCAAACAGCTGGATGTGTAATTACTTCATAGTTGCTTCTATCCTCTTTCCTTTGAATCGCAGCCATATTATACGTGCATGTTCTAACGCACGATTGAACTCCACATATGTTTCAGAAGGAGTGGCAATCTCCTACCAGTCATCGGCATTGATAAGTTGTAACAAATTGTTGAGTGTATCCAATATTGGTTTGATGTTAGCGGTTGTCAGATGAGGAGATATTGACTCTCTTCTTCTATCCCGAAAAGCCTTCAAATATAGCATTAATAAACAACGTGTTTAGTGTTTCTGAACTTTGCTTCCAGTCTACTGATCGTGTCATTCATTTAAGAGACTGGATGCATGCTGCGCTTACTCGAAGTTTTGCAATTATTAGCATATATATATATATATATATATATATATATATATATATATATATATATCCACTTACAGAAGCAAGTGGAGACGTGCAGTTGAAACCCTATGTTCCACTAAGAACCCAAGGGAACAATAATAATAATATCCACTTACAGTAACTCATCATAGCCAAGTTTAAAGATTTTGGGTATTCAGTCAGTCTGAAATTACAGTCATTAAAGTTTATTTGAAGTGTTATCTTCAATACAATATATAAACTTGTTCCTAGTTTAATCTTGCATATCGTCTTTATATTCACGTCGATTTTCATTGTTTATATTTGTTGATATCAAGTGGTTGGAGGCAATCGGCAGGAAGCCTTTCACTTATGTTTCGTACTAGCTGATATTTGCCAGCATGGTGTGTCTGTAACCTTGAAGGAACTCATGTCCCTTCTGAAGTTTGAATCCGCGTCACTCAGTGCTGTAGTCAGAGACGTTACCACACTGAGCTATTCGGCCTTGCGACTGACCTCATGTAGGACTTTTTTTGGATAGTAGTTTCCAATCAAACGGATTCTTTTTGTTAAATAATTTTCTCTCTGTACTTCTCCAAAAAATTATGTTCTAATTTTTTTTTTCTTTTTTCCTCCAGTCCATTTGAATTAATATTGAATTTGCTGTACAAAACAGCATCATGTTTACAGAGATCAGCAACTGATAACTGCAAATCTGAACTACCTATATCCGATTTATTTTTACGACGACAAATTGATGAAGCTTTACCTAATATTGCACACTTAGTCAATATAAACTTGATGGATATAGCTAGATATGTTATAGTTAACCGAGTTAAAATTCCATCTCATGTATTTAAGAATCATCAATTATTCAATGAAACGTGTATAACAAATCGTAGCTTATCATTAGATATGACCTTTGGAGCAGGTGAATTAACTCCTGATGACATAAGTTTTAATGCAACTATGTACGAGTCACCACTAGATCGGGTTAGCTCATCTGCTGATAATCAAACGTCCAATAATTTAGAACCTACAGAAGCAGACTTTATGTTGGCAGAGCTTATTTTATCACAAGCACAAATTAAACAAGAATTACTATCCATTCTCGAAGCGTTTGTTTTTAATGGTACTCCTGACCAATACATTTCTGCTAAATGGCGAGCAACTCGGTGTATTTTACGTTGTGAAAACGGTTGTTATTTACGACCAAAATTGTCAATGGTTGAACTGCGTGCTGCCCTACTCCGCCTTTCTACACTGGCTTCTTGTTCAACTTCTATGTATCAACAGTTACTATGTGATGCATCTGTTTCATGTACTTCATCACGAGGTGATACATACAGTTCATTACATCCTTCACGTCTTGAAAATAGTATTAAACAACTTTTAATAACTTCTTCAAATAATTTAACGGCTTTAAATCTTACATCTCATCTTATTCTTCATTATGAACTTTTGTCATTTCCTATCTTAAAACAATTATTTGAATCTGTTCATCACCGTAATGCACAAGAGGTACTTGATATCGCTTTCGTTTTACTTACTTTCATACAATCAACAGGTAATGTAAATGAAAGTATGAAATGGTTCTTTTTGAATCCTGTCAAGCAAAATTCACTCCTACATTCCATTATATCATCACTTATTGAAAAACTATTTCTAAGGATAATGACTCCTGGAGAAGGTGATCCTAGAAAGATAAAAATCCAAATCAGTAGATTACTCTATTTCCTTATTTCATGGCCATTTCCAGATAAAGAGATTGAGAATATTTTTGTTCAATTTAGTCATTCAGTAGATCGTATGCTTTCACAACAGTCTATGAGAGTTAGTGATTTACCTCAACAATCACCTGTTCTTCTTGCTATATTTCTGCATTTACTTGCATCAAGTGCATCAAATCCACAGGTATCAGACGATCTCAATGCATATTACAAGCAGGTAAGTTCACTACTATACTATTCATCAGTATAACCTGCGAAACTTACTTGGTCACTTTTTTTAGCTTACAATTTTGTTCATGATATGTAAGTTGCTATCGGACAGATAAGTTTAAACTATGGAAAAGTCGATTATATCTTAAACGAGTCACACCTTCATATTCTTTTAACTTCCAAGTGGAAAATAGGGCCTCAGGCTAGAACTTTGAAGTTTCGGTAGCAGTTGTTTTATTTCTACGGGGTGGGGTTGCTAGCTTCACGCCCAACCTTCCCTCTTCATCGGCCTTACTACCAGCTTAGTGAGTGCGTCCGCAAGTGATCGAACCCGGACCACATGCATGGTTGGCGAGTGTTCTACCACTGAACCACCGACCCACTTTGAAGCCTTAAGGCGATAAAATAGAAGTAGTCTTATGAGAAGCCGTTAGATAAAAATTAAACGAGCCAAAAGGAAAAGAAATACTAACTTGAAGTAATTTAGTGGATGGTGACTAACATTAGAATCCAAGATGCCTATTTCGTCCTATTTGAAACTTTTACAGCTGAATGTACCTGCCTTCCCAATGAGTGAGTGATGGTGTTCCCACTGAGACTCGAACCCGGTACCCTCATCTTTTCAAATGGCATAGCCTTTTCCCTTAAACCACTTGGGTTGAAGTTTCTATACTAGGAGCCGAGATATCAACTAAGGCCGGACATTTCGGTCAAATTAATGAACGGGAAAATCAAAATTGAATTAGGAACAAATAATGCATGTAGGAACTTGTCAACAGTTGACTTCTCGTCATATGAACCGTGATAACCACCTCTTGTGAAACGGATGTTAGTTATCATTTATTTTTAATTCTATTTTGGTTCTTTCATCGATTGATTGGACGGAAATGTTCGGCCTCTGTTGAACTGACAATCCAATAACGGGAAAATCAAAAGAGAATTAATAGTAAAAGTAGAAATATCTTCGCCAATAACAAAGCGTAAATGTTTCCACTAGACTACCACTTATTCTATATTGATTTTAATACATTCGTTTACACTGTGATACATAGGATAACCACTTACTAACCGTCAGACTCTTGTGCGTTAACCATATGTTTTAGTCTAACTAGTGTTTACTTTCACCGTACTCCATCAAATGCAGGATGAAGTAAATGGTCAATCAGTGTGTTAAATGGTAGTGCCTAGTATACCCCTTTTAAGCCAAAATTAAAAATTTCATCACTTAACTCCTTTATGTCAAGCATCCTTACTGTTTGTGCAATGATCTCCTCAGAAGTAGTTTATAGGCATTCGCTAAGCACAAAAGTATCGATAATGCTGCAAGTACTTCAATGATTTTTTTGCTTCTTTGCTTTAATTCTTCCGGTTGCAATCCCTATCAAGAGGTGATACTCACTATTAGGTAGGTGAATTAAATAATCGACATAGCTAATCATCTCAATACTAATTATCATCATTGCAAGTTATTTTTGAAGCTAAAATGTGTGGTAAATTGGGGAAGAATATACTCTAAACACTCTTAAGTCCTGTATTGCGGCCTAACAGAACTAGTTCACCCGTACACCTGGAGTTGATTAAATGATCTGTGCTAAAGATAAAGGTCATCCGTAAAAATGTCAAAAGCCTGTATAGTGTATCTTCAACAATGTAGTATACTTATCAGAAATCCCCGTCATTACATATAGTCGCAACATCGCAAGTGTCAGTCAACAGAGACAATTTTTATCTTCATTTCTACCTAGAATGTATCTTCTATCAGTTTAACTACCACAACCTTATATTCTTTGTTATAATTAAATATTTTATGGCGAATCAATGGGGTGGAGTAAGATTCAATAGGCTTTATTCATTCGCTTAAAGATAGGGAGGGTAAGTTAATGGATTGGGTTGTGAATTTGACTCGATTGAAATGGCTCCACGTGTGTTATGCATGCCGAGCCACCACCTGACATAGAGATGTGTAAACTACCTGGTTGTGGTCGTCGGTACGCTAAGAATCAAGGACTGGAGACTGTTGATGATATGGTCCATTATCTTCCCCAATAATGCAGATGCATTCAATGTTTGTAATCTCTTATATACACTAAACCATCTTGTTTTTCCGTGTTGCTCTTCTTTCTCTCGTACATTTTTGCCCATTACAGTTATTCTGAAGTTCCTATTCTTTCCTCTAGCTTTGTGTGACTGCTGCACTTCTATGCCAAGTCTTATGCCGAAACTAAGCTCAAAGCATAAAGATGCACATATGTCATATGAGTTGTCGGTTACCCGATAGATTCACTTATATCTATATACCACCACTAACATATCTTTCTCTTTCGTTTTAGATTGTTGGAGGCGAAGATAAACAAAATACGGTAGATCTAATCCGTGATGCTATGCGAGATGGTGAAATCTTGCTAACCCCCAAATTCCTTTGCTATCCTTAACTTAAAAATTAATAATAGTCTTTTTGTACTTTAATCTCTACAACTGTATGTCAATATCAATATTTAATTATTAATAGTGCTTCTTACCTTTTTAGCTTTCACTGAATTCGGAGATGTTTCATAGATCCTTTTCTAGTAAAAGCGAACTGCTAAAGATATTTTGTGCGTATTAACTGTTGGGAAAAAACGTGTTTTTGTAATTAACTATGATTTAGGTGTTGGGTCGCAGTCTCAGATTTTCGTGAACATTAAGTCGCGTAAACTGAGTTATAAACAGGTACCAACCATTCCGGTTACATTTCACTTACCAGACGAGTGCGGTTTGGATATCGACCAACCGTCTCGCCTGTTTGATGCTGAGATCATCAGTGGAGAATCCGAACCGAATTAACTCCACAGAAAAGTCACTCAATAATTATGATTACTTGAATCCAGTTACTTTATTCGGGTAGAATCGGTATCCGACAGCCTAATAAATCACATCATCCATGCCGATATTATTCGTTGCTGAACAGTTCTTGTCTAACTTGTGTGTGAAGAACCTAAATCAAAAGCTATGAAAATAAGATCACAACTGCTGACGTTTGATATGTTTTGCTAGGAAACACGGATAGTTAGAAGCCACTCGTGATCATCAAATTATTTGAATTACTCTGCCTTATCGGGATCCAGCGCTGATCAATGCCACAGGCGAGTGGGGCATTAATGACCTGTGTAGAAAGTTTACAGGACTAACGGAATTGTTCTCTTATGAGAATTACAACGTTGGAAGTATTAATAAATACTTACGGGTTTACGACTCGCAGCGATCCACCCGCAGTGATTTTTAGCCTCTGCAACAAGGTGCATCAACCCTCAACATCTACGCTTACCGTGCGTTAGAGCAGTGACTCAACGGATCTTACGAAAGATCTTACCAACATGCAGTACACCCACGAAGGAAATCGTTTAGGCAACAACAATAAAAAATTAGGGCGTTCTGATCAAGTGCGAAACACTAAGGACAGTATGTCGTAAAGTATTCCAGGACAAACAATCCTATGAGTGAGGCTTGGGATTGAAAAACCCGAGAAAATCGCGCAGGCCTCCGGTTCGGACCGAGATGTATTAGCAACGTCCCCAGCCCTCAACAGGATCGGCGGCGCACTGCCCGCTATTTGCGACCCAGTCGATCGCAACGGTATGGCAATTACAGGCACTGACGGAGCTCCGGGGAAGACCACCAGGCTAATCAAAACACCTAGCTCTGGAACTTGCGTTTTAACGCGCCTTTATCTGTCGCAAATCTGAGTCAGTTGCCAACCTATGCGCCAGTGTCTCTGCTCCTAGACACATAGCATATTCTTGGCTTTAATTCTCACGTCGTCTTTTTCGAGTATCACACTGCTTCGAGTGTGATGATTTTGATCATACACCTAAGCTGAGCAGCCGAACCATCAGTGACCCCACGACATATTCAGGATGGCTACCTGCGCCTTACTTACCATTACTATTTCGTGTTGAAACTCGATGCAACGAGCAGGAAAATAGCCTGTGGGATTCTCACAGGAACGATGGCAAAGTTCTACAATAGCGTCCCAAGGGATGCGAACGCACGAGTGACCCTCAGCCAACCAATCATAAAAATGAAGAATTTTTGCACAAAAATGATGTATATTCACAAGAAAATGCATGAAAGCATATCTTAGTCGCAACCCTGACCGTAACCCCAACAAATGCTCGTTTCGCATTTGTTAGTTTACGCCGACTCTGGCGTAGACGAGATGTTCGACTATCGACCAAAGGGCGGGTGTACTGCTCATCAGTCCGCTCCGTCCTCCTTTATGGTTGTGAGACCTGGCCACTCAGAGTGGAAGACATGAAAAGACTAGCTGTCTTTGATCATAGGTGCCTGCGTTCTATTTCCCGTGTGAAGTGGCATAATAAGGTGAGCAACATGGAGGTTAGGCGCAGAGTTCTAGGTAAACAGGGGAAATCAATCGACGAAGTCGCGAAGTTACCAAGACTGAGATGGTTAGGACATGTGTTACGTATGCCAAGCCATCGCCTCCCTCGACGAGCTATGTTAGCGGATATAGGGTCAGGCTGGAAAAAAGCTAGCGGCGGTCAAACAAAAACTTGGCATCAGTCAATGAAATCCACAACAGTTGGTCTAAGCCACGTAGGAAGGTGTAGACTTCCAGGCTGGAGTCCTCGGGACGGTAAAAATCAATGGTTGGAAACAATTGGTGACATGGCTCAAAACCGTTCTCAGTGGCGCAGATGCATCCACTCCCTGTGACTTATGATCTCCAATGAAACTGTTTTGTATTTCTTTATTACTCCTCCTTTGTCTCACACCTTTGCTTACTGTTTCTATTATGCTTTTCTTGTACTTTCTTCTCTTGCTTCGCGTGCTACACGGAATGTGGCGACTTGAACTGGCGCACATTTGTGCAAAGTTCTATGTCGAAAACAGACAGACAGACCAACTCTGACGCCAACACTTAACTTAACCCTTGTTCCTACCCTCACAAGATATTAACACATCGTCCAAACAGTAATTAAGAGCGTGATCTGTGTGACACTTGCTCCTAATTTGATGAATAGTGTTGATATTTCAGCTATGATGACGGTGCTGTTGGCCAACGACTAGCATGCGTTCAAATTCATTGAGGCGTTCGCTCTCCTGGGACACTTGTAGAACTTCGCCGGAATAATTCTAGTGACATTAATGAGCAGTCTAAGTGCGTCCACCACTTGGAAAATTAAGCTAGTGCTTCACACATCCGACTTTCAAATTTCGTCGAAAACGGTCCCCACAATACCGAAAGACAGTGTCTTCTCACCTTTCAATAAAAACAGACCGCTTCACAATAAAATATTACTGAGATAATTCAAAATACAACCAAGCTTCAGGTCTTGTAATGATTACAAGCCCGACAAATAACAATAAGAAGTGTTTCCCTTATAGAAGCCTACACCCATTGTAGTACACCATGAATATTCAACAGAATGATAAGCAAAAAGCATGATCCTTACAAACACTAACAAGTCACATAAGCCTATATATGTGATCTACATAACATTAACTTAACAAAAGAAACAAAACATTCACTATGACAAGCTAGAAACAACACAGAAAGTTACTACAAGGGAAGCTCAAAGTTATAATTTAGGAAAATCACCTAAATACCTCACTCAGCACACCAATGGACTACCTGTCACCGCACTATTCAACAACACGAAACACAAAGCGCTTGTAGCAACTAACATATTGACACTAAAGGTCATCTACTGTGGCCAAATCCCACATATCCCAAAGACTACGAGAAACGTCTTAGTCATGAAAAGCATTGAAAGACAATAACCAGTTTGCATCACCACGGATTGCACAAAATGTTGCAGGCACACCGTGGATGAGACTACCGACCACAGCATCAGTGCACAACTTAAGAGCATGACGAGACGAACAGGTTTGCGATCAGTGACACCCAACGAGGCGAGTCCCGACTTCTGAGACAGATAGGCACATGAACTACTCTGGTCAGATGCATAATTATGTACGCGGACTGAAGCTGGCAACTCGTATCTAGAAATGAATTCGAAACGGGTCCAAATTCAAACTCGAGGACCGCACGATGCATATGCATCGTCTAAGGACGAACATTTTGGAACAAACCAAACAGACACTGGACCTACCAAATACGAAGCTCTACGTCTCGTTTTCGAAACTGTTGCAGCTCAGAAATTTTGCTCATCCCCATCGCTTATGTTCGGATATGACTGGATGTAATGAAATACAAGTCCTAGGCGGTGATTTGGGCTGCATCACCGTGGAATGGCTTCACTGCTTCCTCAGTTCGATACGCATCCATCTATGTTTTGGAAACTGCTGGAACCCAGTGCAGGAGACGCTGACTGACTGTAAGCCATATTTATACTCAGAATCAGGTACGAAACATGAAACCATTAAAGGTAAAAAGACGTTTTATGCAGAAAGTTTAGTATGCAGGTAAAATAACATCGACTTGAGCAGTCTACATTAAATGCGATTATTCATCAGAATCTCGATCCCGAGCACCATGGTCACCATTGCTTCTACCATCCATTTCGTCATCTGATCGTCGCGGCGTGCCAGACTCACTGCGGTGTGACATTGAACGCGACCGGGATGCAGAACGGGAGCGTGTACGAGAACGATCAGGAGACCTTGAATCAACTGTACGCGACCTGCTTCTTGAGCGTGAGTGTGTAGCAGAACGTGACCTGGAGCGCCGATCTAAATCATTCTTCATGCTGCCTTCTCTACCATTACAACTTGGAGAGCGAGAACCAGCACCCTAAATGACATTACTGGTTAGGAACAAGTTGAACTCACCAATGAGTGTTTGTCACTGTGCTGAGAAAGGGATCTTGCATGAGAACGATCTGACCTCGAACGATGAGATAGACTCCTAGACTCTCTGTCGACTGAATTTTCCCTGGAGCGTCTGTGGGAATTGTGACGAGATTCCGACCGGTGTTCATCACTTGAATGTGACCTGTCGCGTCGATGTCTTGGGCTTCGGGATTCCCTTCTACGATAGGAATCTCGGCTTCGCGATCTGTGGGAATGTCGGCGACTGTCAGATCGCGACCTGTAAGAACCCGATCGAGATCTCTGGCCTGGACGATCTTCATATACACGAAGCCTGCGCCCATAAAGTTCATAACCATCAAACTTCTCAATCGCCTCCTTCATATCCGCATAAGCAGCAAACTCAACAATTCTAATATGGTATATTAAGATGAGTACACAACTTACCCATCATTCTTTGCCGATTTGTGAGCATCCGCATAGGTGACTTCCCCAGCTTTACGCATCAAATCTTTTAGATCCTAAACGAGAGAATAAACAGCTCAAAAACTTTTTCACAGAGAAGATCAGTTAACAGGTTTAAAAACTACTAATTAGGGTTAAGCTAGCCTAGTACTTAAAAACGCGCGAGTAATTTACCTCGCGTTTTGATCTGACCACAGTACGAAACCGCGTTACCACGCACTCGGCCGGACGACCGCTGGACGGCGCGACCAAAAACAACCCTGGGCGAATGACCATGGTACGGAAACGACCAATCCTACGCGTCCTACGCCACCCGAAACGACCGAACGTCAACGAGCGGTAACTGAATTCGAGATAACAGGCAATTAGTTACTTCTTTGAGGCTTACAAGCAATCAAACGACAATTTCTTACCTGCCAGCTTACACGCGACGACAGATTCTCGACAATAACGCGATACTCCGTTCGAGTTGGTGGGCCGTACCTGCTGTGACAGATGAGGGAATCTGGACAAGGTAACTCACCGATCACGACCACTACCACCACCTCCTCCACCACCACCGCCTCCACCAGCTCTTCTGCTGCCACCTCTGGTGCCTGGTGGAAGACGGGCATGTTCAACGATCAGACGTTCGCCCCTTAGATCTCTACCGTGAAGGTCGTAAACAGCATCATCGGCATCCTTCTCATTGTCAAACTCGACGAATCCATATCCATTCTTTAAAACGATGTCTCTCAACCTGCCATATCCCTTGAAGAACCGTTCGATATCCCTCTCGGTACATCTAGGAGGTATCCGACCAACGTACACTCTCGACATCTTGAACTTGTTAATGTGAGGCGGCCATCAAACATTGATTCAAACAAACGGTATAAACACTCAATGTTGATAGACTCTCTTTGCAGATTTTATTTTTTCACTTAACTATTGAATTATATCCATTTCTCTTTACGAAGAAATAATCCCGGAAGATTTCTGCTGAAAATGTAGCGTTGACAGACAACTACCTTTCAAACGAATCACAAACAGATTAGAAGGAATGATTGCTTAGCCAGCTACTACGCCTAAAGTCACTGAAACTCCGGCTTTTTGCACATGAATCTGAGCGTTATGAGGCAAACGACCAAAGGTCAAGTTAGCAATAACCCGTTGTTTGGACTCGTTGAAACGGTAGGTGGATGAAGAGATGAAATGGCTTGAAATTACTGTCTAATAACGGCACTATGAAGCTTGGAAGCTCCCAAGTGTCGATATTTCAATAAACGATCTACCATATTCCAATTCTGACTTTCGGCCGCCTCTTCTAAGGATGATGTTTGACTCAAACTTTAAAATGCGTTGAGGTCAAACACTCGGATGTTGAGAGTGTAGTGGGCCATTACGAAATCACTTGTGGGTTCACTGTACCAGTAGTGTACAAGTGTAGCACTGCATGTTTTGCGTACCACTCACCCAGCTAACAAACCAAAACAGCTCTAGGCGTGCTGAAAATTGTCTGTCTGTTGACACCTAGTGATCAGAGTCTTGAACAAGGCAGCATAAGGCCATTAAAACCCTAGTGGACAAACCAGTGGAAGCATTGCCTGAACGTGCTTTACTAAGGCACAAGTGCCAGACCAGCATGTAAGACTTCGCTGTTACAGTCGGCGTAAGATATGCAGTGATGATAGAATAACATACCTAGAAGTATCTGCGGTGGTGAAGACTCAATCTCCGCCTATTCTGGCCCTGTATGTGGCCACCACATTGCTGCTGAATAACTTCACTGGACTTATCACAATCTAATCTAGATTCATCATATACCTAACTTTGAAAACTGCTCAGACCATCCTGTATAAATAGCTTATGTCATATCTCCTGTCGACACTGTCGCATCCTTATTAAGAAGAGTGTTGGAGGAGGCATATGATCGTCGTAGCTCAAGAAGGAGTCCTAGTTCCAAGCTGTAGAAGAACCCTGTCTCTCAATATGGGAGTCGACTAGAAAGTAGTAGGGTGGTGGTAGTGATGGTTGTTCACGCGGTCACTGTTTGAAGAGATAAGCACAATGAAGTGACTGGCAGGCATAATGTTCGTCATGTACATCAACTAGTGGTGCTTTTCCAACCACCCCCTGAAGTGGCCACGCGTCAGAGCTGTTTTCGTCCGGATAGGATAGGGTGCTAGCTTCAGACGATTTCTAACCGAGCATCAGTGAGGTCCTGGAATGGAGTGACAGTCCTCACTTGTATTCCCGATATTGGTCAGAGGTATCTTTCAACTTACTGACCGTCAAGTACTTCGATTTTTCTACGATTAAAGTAGTTTGTAGGAAAGTGTGTGGTTGCCCCTAAATGCTTATAATTAGCATGTAGGGAACAACATTGACGGACGAATTTGACAAAAGCGCATACCCCTGGGAGTTCTCGTGGGATTGACTATAACTACTCGTTACATATCCGTACACTCCCATACCTTCTCTAGATTCAGTTAGGGAAATGAAGAAAATCCCAGCGTGACCAAAGACTTTCTACAGGGGTTGACAGTAGATAACCTCCGTGACTTCACCAGATGCGCAAGAAAGCCTGCGAATTTAGAGATCATAGCAACCTAAATTCCAACGGCATACAGATTTCCTCGCTTTATTTTGGTCCATGCATCATCGAACGTCATCAACGGATGAAAATGGCGTTGGTAATCCACGTCGAAATACATCCTGGCTGCAGACCTACTAAGTTGTTTCAGAAGAGTTCCAGAAGGCGCTCCAGAAAACAAACAGATGTATAGATACTTCCCCAGCTGGCGCTCCAGAAAAAGAACAGAAAAATGAAAACTATCAAGGAACTTAAGCCTAAGTTCCTATTGCTCCGAAGACGCTCCGAGCCGATAATTTCTATGTACCTATCTCGACTTCAACTCCATAAAACCAGTACTCGGTTGAAAGTTATATTGTTTGGTAATTAAAGGCACGATCAGGGATGATATAATATCATATCGTAGATTTTCTACAAGTTAATTATTTTTCAACAGTTTAATATTTGATACATATTTATAAATACACCATTGTCTGAACCAGGCCGTGTAGTTATTGAATTGTAGAGTTGTCCTCCAGGTTGAGCGGGAAAATCGACTTCGCTTTGTTTTCAACCCGTGGTTGTAGGCATACGATAACCAACCAATATTGGGGTAAGTACAACGTTTACAAGGGATTGAAAGCTGTTTTAGAAAAGTAAAAGTGCTAAGGTGAATCAATAAAGTGTAATGAAATAGGTAAGTGCAAGTATCATTAATAAATGCATTTATAAAGGAAAATCTCTAGGCTGACAACGTTCACTTGCAATGTTTAATGCTACCCATATAGTTCTTACTATCATGATGTCCACTTTTGGCTTTAATACATTTTTCCTTATGCCGGTTTTTTTTATTTTATGCCTTTTTGTGCATATGGTGCACAACCGTACCCTACAGAGAATAGGAATAGAATAAGTCGAATCAAATTCATAAAGAGCTATAAAATGTTAGGTTTAATGGGATGTAATGAGGATCAAGTAAAGACGCTATTAGAAAATAAATGAGATGAGACATTGTGAAGTGGCATTCAAAGATCCGACAATGGATTGCAAGTTAATTTATAAGATGCCTCATAAATCTGTGCAGAGCCCATGTGGTCGCATCTCAACAGTAGGCTGAGCGAATGGTTTATGTTTAAAGGCAGAAGCATGATCTGTCTAGGCGCTCATTATTATCTTTTTCAAGATAAAGATCTAAGTCCTCATAAATATCATGGAAATCTCGAGCTGTCAAATTGCATATTGCTGTTCCTGCAGAATGGGGCGATTCACCCTAGTGATCACCACCATGTCTGCTGTTCAGCTAGCGCCACCCTCCCTCCTTTTTTGATGTTAGGCTCTGAGACTATGATTATTATGGCTACAGCAAATATATTGCTTGGTACCAGACATGTTCGTACCTCATATTCCATCTCCCTAGCTTTCTTAATGAGTGCTTCCAATAGGTCTCCGCGTACATCTTTATGAACACATTATATATGTTTGCATGCGTCCTAATGAAAACCTCGAAGAGTAAAACGAATATGCTTTGCGAATAATGGAGCAAGATTCAGCAGAACATTATAGCTAGGGTTCAATGTAGGTAGTATGAACTGAAGGTAAGGTCGGTTGGCAGGACTTAGTGTACTAAATTATCATGACAGTCTTGTATATAGTAAACATTTGACATTGCAAAGTAACCTGTCTACATATATTACAAAAAGATATTAACAGAACCAACAAAATTTCAGCATTTGGTTAACAATACTGCAGAAGGGTACTTAGTACTACAGGTAGCCGTAAAGTAAATCAATCTATGTATAATAAGAGCATAATCAATGTCATAATTCGTATTATCAAAGAATACATTAGGCTCAATAACTGGGTGTTATAAGGGAAATAAGAGTGGTTGTCAATGTAGTTGAAGATTGAACGATCAATTCATAATTGTTTGCTCAGAACCAACTTTCCCAATTTTCGCGGAGGCATTAATCAGCCAGTCATCGTCTCATGTGTGAGGATATAGGCTATGACAAGGTGTTCTCGCGCAATTTCATCGGTTACCGCGTTCACGGCTACAGGCGTTATAATGGCCTATTTTTGGAAATAGATTATATTTGACTAGTTTTAGACTTCTGTAGCCAGATGGCAGTATTTTGTTCCTATTACAGCGTAAAATTTTATTTTATAGCTCCAACGAATTATTAATAAAAGAGTCATCCTTTTTAAGAAAGTTCGCATAAAAACTATTATTTGCATTATAGTGTTATGAGGGTTTGTTTTTTGCGAGTTGTTTCATATCTTAAGGTTGTAAATATACTGCAGGCAATGGCTGTTGTCATTCCAGTGAATTTATGAGAATCTGGCATACTAAAGAGAAATAGCGTGCAGACATAGGTTAGATGTGTGTTTTGAACATGTTAAACACTTCTGTTATCATCCGGGATGACTGAAATATTCCATAACACATCGACGACATCATGCGAAGAATGAGGCAGGTTGCTGAATTTCCTGGTGATTATATCTATTTTGATGAAATTTGTAGTAAAAAGTGCTTGGGCGAAGATGTGCTAATAGTTTAATTGACATTTGCACATGGAATTTCAGAAGGCCTTAAATGCTCAGTGCATGAAATGGCATATGCCATATGTCAATATACTGTGATATCACATTGCCCAATTTATTACGACGAACAACTGCGTAAAGATATTTGCTCGTTATTATTTTTGAATAAATATATTTAACATCCTGCTTACCAGACCTTTTTTTATTCTATCTGAGTGTAGATATATTTGTCATGATGACTAGATGCAGGCACGTCTTATTAATGAGACCTGACGAAGTAATTGGTGGCATATATTAGTGTAAGGTAAATCTAACTACGAGTGCTAAAGCTGAACGAATTCAATAATTTGTCTCGTGTAGACTTTAATTTACGCTACATTTTGACAGCCTTAGTCATATGGATTGACATCACGCTTTAAGTGAAACATTAGTAATGCAATACTTTAGAATACACGTAACCGTAAAAGAACTGGAACTCGAATGCAGTGCCTAAGTTATGCCTACTATTGTCACTTGTCCCTAACGACTTCTATATGACTATGAGACGTATCCACGTAACTTCACTAAAATAATTATAATTTAACACGTATGACGACCGACATCGTTCCCACACAATTACACTTACGTATAGTTAAAGTCCTAGAGAGCACCGGTCTAGCATGCCGTGCTCAATAAGGGAACACATGAATTGAAAGAGAACAAGATTGACATGAAAATCTTATTTTGATTACGATACAAATTCAGTTCATTTACATATTCAGAGTACGATTGATTCTTGCTATTATTTCTACTGAATAATTCCTGGCAAACACTTCTCCAAATTTGTCATTAATTTTCCTA